TTTTATTGTCACCAAAAAATGACAATTGCGCTGATTTTGCTTAACAGTAAAATTCAAATCGAGTTCTTAGGTTTTCGCGATTGTTACACATAGGAAATGAAACTATTTTTCCGGATTTAAATCGCGTATATTTGTTTTTTCAGTCAACCGTGACCATGGGACCTGTAAAGGATCCGAAACGTCGGTTTGTTTGAAAAAACAAATATACGCGATTTAAATCCGGAAAAATAGTTTCATTTCCTAAGTAAAATTCAAACTAAATAAGATATTAAAAAAACCATTAGAGGGGGTTGTATAACAGATCTCGTTCTCGCTCATCCCATATACGTTTGTGACATTTAATTTGTTTGAAAACTATTCTGCCAAATCATTACAGTGACAACAGCGTTCCGATTGGCCAGCCCGAATTCGAAACAATTGACGGGTGTCGTCAATTGTTTCACTTCAAATCGACCAGTTTAACTTGAGCTTTGCTGTAATAGACGAAAATTTAAAAATTACATATTTTATTACCGATAAAATGTGATTCCGTTTGTTTTGTAACTAGATGTTTTGCTGTTTTTCCCACACCACCGAATGCAACAGCCCCCGATGCACACACATGTGAATTGTTGGCGCTGTACTATTTCAGCTTTCTAATTTGATTTCAGTGCAAACGGAAGTTGATATTTAAAAGTGATATAAGGCCCATTTGCCTGATGAGTTGCCAGGGATGGATGGACCTTATTTCGTCTCTGTTTCTGGTTATATGCTCGATGCAATGCAAGTAGGTTCCTGGCCACCTACTTTGAAATTTTGAATCGTTCTTAAATTCCTTTTATTCTTCAACACTTACTTTTCTTCTTGCCATCGCCACTCTTTACTAAATTTCCGAAGTGAGCTCACGTGGTTGACTTCACACATAATTCTGACCAGTCAAATCATGTAACCTAACTGCTTGTAAAGCATAGTATTTCTAGTAATTACAGGCCCTTTTGGGGTAAGTTCCTTTTTACCATAACCTGTATATAATTTAAGTATGGAGTGTTTTTATACCACTGTGCCTGTTTTTATATCATTATGTTTTGTTACGGCCTTTACGCCTTTAATTTACCTGTTCTTTTCCCGTCTTGTATTCTCTTTCTTATTTCTACAATAAAATTCATGTGGACCGAACCTTGTACTTAATTACGCGAGGCCCGCGTGACACGTTAACAACTCAATTACGCTAAAATGTGGATTCCGTTGGTTATGACAAGGAGAGACTGAGACGACATGCAACTAACAATTTTCGAATTATTTTATAGGCACAATTATAGTCAAAGTATGGGAAGCCATTTTGTGACAAGCTTTATATAAGGTGAAAAAGACATTTTATTTATTTTGCAAAAAAGGCATTTTTGTGTTAGTTTTGTTTTTAGTTAAAATTCATCACAGCTTAAATCGGAATTACTAAATTTTTCAAAAACAAAACACTCTTTATATACAGATTTCTTTTTCCAATTCAAAAATATTCCTAAAAAAAAATTATGAATAAAATTTCATATCTCAGCGAGTTTTTATTGGAATTACTTTTATTACTATACACATCTTTCGCATTTGTTTTCCATACTTTTGTATTAATTCTGTATGGCGTTCCATACGAAATATTTGTATGGCAGTATTAAATTCATATACGTATATGCTACATCTAAGTTAGAATTATGTATACAGGGCGCCCTATTATAAATTGAGATTGTAACTTGTTTAAACCACACCAAAAATTAACAGACGTTTGGAATTTTTCTACATACTTACTTACAGTTCTAATAAAGTTCTTACGTACTACCACGATAACTTTTTTATTTCAAGTTGTTTGGAAGAAATCGCTATATAGAAATAAGGCCACCTGGTTATTGTGTACTGTTCTCCGTAATAATCTCACAATAATCATATTCGCTTAAGTTTCCAATTTGCGGGCACCCTGTTTCTACGTACCTACGTCTATGACTAAGTAGCTAGTATCACTTCTTATGAGCTGGGGCTTGTCACGCGTTGCCGAGGAGCTCGCTGCAAAAAAGAGAGTATTTAATGTATTTATATATACAGGTTATTAATTTAATTAGGCTGCACCCGAATTGGAGGAGTGCATCCCATGAATTTGAAAAAAAATTATTGTTGGGAAAATAAACGGAAGCTTTTTGTAACTGTAGCATAATAAGTTTATGCCAATTGTGTAATGTACAAACTAAATATACACCAAGCACCAGGTCGTGCGTCTTCCAGAAAATTCTTGCGCAGTCTCCAGAAATCCCGCAACTACAGAAACGTATCTAGTTTTTACGTACATACCATAGACATTATCTGAATAGACACCGCAAGTACCGCGATCTATATGAAAACCAAGCGTCCCATATTTTTTGTACCTCTGATGACGATACAAGCACTATTTAGTGATGGGACACCTCCTTCGGCGCTAAAGCGATTGATTAAATCGAAGACGCGGACGCTGCACGCGTTTAGAATAAAGATTTTACAAGTATTTCTTCATTATAATAGGAAGCCGTGAAACATTAATATAGTAAAATAATATCAGAATAAGATAATTAAATCCTTTATTAATACGTGTTTGACAAAATTTTCCTCTGGAAAAATAAAAAATAAAAGAAAACAAACTTTATAGAATATTTTTATAACATTTTCTAAGATCTTAAGAATTATTATTCTTTTGTCCCCTAAATCGACCAGAATCGAGAACTGTGTTGCATCAAGTGAACACCACTAATCGTAAAATTTGACCAAAAACACGACGACGCGTCCGTACCACTAAACTGAATGCATTATATGAATATTCATGGCCTACTAAAGAAGGACCACAGTAACGGCGACAACTAAGCGTTTATAGCTTACATTGGGCACGCGAAGTAGGTACGCTTGCGGCGTCTATTAAGATATGTCTGTGGTACGTATATATATATATATATGTTATTATTACATATAAAAATATTTGTTAGTTATTATTTCCATTAACGCTCTGGCGGCACAGAGGCGGAGCGGGAGCGTTTCGGGCACGGGAATTTCTGTAATGTTCGAGTGTTTTTCAGTTTATTAAGTTTCAATATGTATCTGACCGAAATTCCTATTGCGTTGTTTTCATAGTGCTACGTAAACTACGTGCTAATAAACAACGATGTGGTGCTTTCTTTATAATCTGTGTAGAAAATGAACCGTGGCTGCTTTTGGTGTCACACTGGCCGCCTTCGCTCCCCTATACCGCCGTGAACTACGCTTGGGACTGATGTGTGGCACGTCCCGGTACGCAATCGTCAAAAATATATGTAATATATATAATATCCCGCAGGTTCGCCCGCGGACCGCTTTTCCCGCTGTACCGCCTCTGTGTGGCCTGAGCTTAATGGCGGCCACGCGGTCGCTAACGGCGCCTGTCACTGTCACTTTATAGTGCACCCTGTATACTTACTTGGTGAGTTCTCTAGTGGTGAGTGGTCCAGTGAGGCCCGACCTTGATCTGGATCGATGCAGCTGTGCTCGCCGTTCAGCTGGCAGACAGACAAACATGTTAGTTCATTCATGTTTGAAACACAATTTACTTAGCGCGTAGAAATACCTATTTTACGGTTAATACTTGGCACGGGTCTTCATTAAGGAGATGGTTAGGTAAGGCACGATAGCCCGATGTGGGTTGGGGACTTCTTTCATCTCCAAGATGCATTTTATGTCAAGAAAGAAGTCCAGGATATTTTCATTAATACAAACAAAAAAAATCTTTATTGCCACAAAATATTCGATAGGGAATATTGTGATATTGTAATAGGCAACATGGTACAGTCAGCATCAAAATGATCTGAATCTTGCCAGACAGAGAGACAGACACATCTTTGCTCACACACAAGAACAGTACATATACGAGGGGCGTTCAATGTATTCTCGGTATAGGTATGAAATAATAGGTAAAAAATTCTAAATAAAATTTATTTTTCAATATAGTCTCCCACAGCCTCAATACACTTATTTGATCGGGCAAATAACTTTTCGTTGCCCTCGAAAAAATATTTTTCCTCTTTGCCTGAAAAATGTTCATTAATTGCCTCCTTCAACTCTTCATTGTCGGAAAAATGCGTACCCCGGAGATCTTTCTTTAGGTTTGGGAACAAAAAGTAATCACTGGGGGCCAGGTCAGGGCTGTAGGGTGGATGAGTGATTTCTTCAAATCCACAATCCCTCACAGCAGCCTTGGCAACGCGCCCTGTGTGAACCGGCGCGTTGTCGTGAAGAAGCAAGACACCAGCGGTCAATTTTCCAGGTCTTTTTTCCTTGACATTTATTAGTCCAAATATTTTTCCCCTTTGATTCCCTTTTTTTTTCGTTAATAAGTTTACTCTAATAAACATTAAATTGGTTTCGCACCCAGACAAGTCGCTGCAGAGACAAGATGCGTAAATGGGAGTTCAAGGATGTTACTCTATTGCTACTAAAAAAAATGATCTGAACCTTGCAAATTTTCAGAAATATCGAAAAAATTGCGGAAAATGAATCGAGAAAGATCGAACACTCAGAAAAAATTACTTCGATCCGGTCGGATTCGAACCGACGTCTTCTAACATACCGCGTCAGACGCTATACCAACTAAGCCAAGGAACGAACCAGCAGAATTCACGAATTTTTCTGTGCTTGCGTCGAATCTTTGTATTTGTTTTTTCCTACTAGTAGAGCAATTTCACATAAAAATAATTGAGTATCAATTCTATAAAAAAAATAATTAAATACAATGAATAGCGACATCTCTAGCCAGGGCTGGTAGCTGTAAAGGTACCTAACTGGGTGACGAAATATCATAGATTTCTCATAGATGGCGCTAGGGCTAAACAGTCGTTGAAAAAACCAAATAAGACGCAAGCACGTAGAAAAGCTCGTGAGGTGCACTGATTCGTTCCGTGGCTTAGTTGGTATAGCGTCTGGCACGGTATGCCGTCGCCGGTTTAAATCCGGCCGGATCGAAGGAATTTTTTGTGAGTGTTCAATCTTTGAATTAATAATTATAAAAAATGAATATTCATAATACGTTTAAGATGTCTATAAACTATTTGTAGTAATTTCAGTTTCAATAAACAATTAAATTTAAAATCATGACGAAAAGGTTGATTTGCCCCTAAACACTTCTGAAAACTCAAACGGTTAACCGCGTAAGTTGGAAGATAGCCCAATGGCATTAATATTCTTTCGTTGAATCATAGCGTCGCAGTTTAAATCACTATTTCCATTCATTGATTCAGTAATCAAAATACGCAGACTACATAACTGTAGTAAAGTATTTGCTACTTAAATATCAAAGGCATAGAACATAACATAGTACATTACAATAATGCTAAGATTTAATTTCCGGTATTGTGCGGATAATACCGGAAAATTAATTAAAGCTTAGATAAATATCGCCCATTCCCGGTTAAACGACACCATGTTTTTCCTCCAGATCATTCTAATGCTGGATGTACCCAGCTATGGCTCCAGTATGGGAAGTCTTACCACTAGTATTTTTGAAATATACGAGCTACATTTCGACCGCTGTCCTGTTGCGATATTTCAAAAACCTAATTTCCTCTAATGAAAACACCCGCATCACCATTTCTCAGGGTCCAAAATCTTGTCTTTTAAATAAATACAACATTAAAAGCAAAAAAAAAACATAAAGGATTTCTCAGCTAAGAGGCGACTGGGTGTTACTTCTGAAATCGGAAATGATTTTGTAAAGGCGTAGCATGTGTAAAGACATGCGAAGCGGATCGCTGAACGCCTCTTATCTGTGAAATCTTTAATTTTTAACCTCCAAATTAGACATCTGTTTTACTTCAATGATAGTGACTGCTTGTAAAAGTGGCGCGCGCTTGTCACGATAGTGGCGCAGCGACTGGGCATCTAGATGGCTGTGGAGCTTCTATAAGCGCCTAATTTGAAGGTGCTCCAAGAATAAGACGATATACATAGTGTAACCGTATGAGCTAGCTTGACGACGTAGTGCCAGAGGATTAAGGAAACATTGTTCCCGTTCCTCGTAGCCGCCTACCTTAACCTCCTAAAACCCCGAAAGCTACAATGAGGAAAACGCTAAACGTCTAACGAGCTATACATTTGAATATCGCCTTCAGTGCAACGGAACAATATGCGTCAATGTGTAGCTTGATATAAGTATAAATATAGTGTACTCATTCTTCTTTCTAGACACCCTATTGGTCATACAAAATATCTAGCGCTTAACTTTAATGCGATATTTTCATTGTTATGTATTATTACGTCAGGGTCTGTTATGTACGCATTTGATATACACGAGGCCTTAAGAGGTTAAAGAGTAGCCACAAGATAGATTCCAAAAAATGCAGCCAGCTGGATTTGCAGATTACTGCTTGGCGGCAGAAATAGGTAAGGTGGCAGTACTTCATTGGACTCTTTCACATGGAGCTCTACTGCTATAATTCATCTGTTCCCTTTTTGCTGCTTTTGTAATTACACTCTTAAATGTTAACTAACTTATACGGTCACACTCAAGTTAAAATATAACAAACAACATAAAAAGCGGTTATTAAACATCGATCGACAACATCGAATCGGACTTGTCTGTATCTTTCTAAGAGCGGCGATGTGTCTCTCTTGACGTTGCGACATCGACGGCCGCATTGCAATGATGATATCGATTCTGTTGTATTAACAATTCAGTTGAACCATGGATGAATACATGAGACAGGCAATTACCATAGTGAAAATCTTAGCCTATAATTTGTGCTCAATCTAAACCAAATTGTCTGACTTGTCACCAATTGATAATGATCGTGACAATTTTATTTATGTTATTTTACAATTATCAAAATAATAATCGTGATAAGTATATTCATGTTATTTTATAATTATCAAAATAATAATCGTGACAATTTTATTTAAGTTCTTTTATATTTATAAAAGTAATTATTGTATTATTATCTAACAAAATAATTATGTTGATAATTTCGAAACCTAATTTATAACACTATTGTGTACAGAATATGCTAAAAATTTTTGTAAATAAGATACCGCTTAGCTAAGCTACCGTCGAGCTTTTCATAGGTTAAAATAATATTGTGAAGTAAAATTTTCACATAGGATTTTAAAATAAATACTGTTTATTTAATTTAGGTGCAAACCTAATATATTTCAAATAGGGTTGACTTTTAACAAATGCGATATTTGTGCAAAATCAATTTGAAGCTTAAAATTATTAACGTTTTGTTCATACAAAATAAGCATAATAAAATAGCAAAAAAAAAACGATACAAAACTAACACTTCTAGACAGGAATCAATTGAAGGTTTCGATATAGGAGTTTCAGAGTGTGCAAAATTTAACACTAAATACAAAAGTCACGAAGTCTTCAGTTTTAAAGGACAATGTATACGCCTGGACAATAAGATTCCGCTAACACTATCGTAAATCAAAAACTTTATACTAAAGGTAATTTATACAGGTTATGTTATACATCTTGTGCATCCAAAATCTACGGTAGTGACCCATTTAACACTTTCGGGTTATTTCTATCTATCTATTTTGAAATAAATTGAAATAAATATTGAAAATACAGTTAACAAATGACTATTTACAAAAATCGACCTGGAGTTTCTTACTTATTTTTCTTCTGGAAGTCTGCCGTACGAATGAATAGTAGTTTAATATTTTTGACGCCAGTCTGTGTAATTGGCTTGCTCAATTTCAAATTTGAATGTGTTGCTTTCCGGTTACCGGTACGGAAATTTTTACCGTTATATTTTAAGAATGAAATGAAATAGAAATGTATTATTTCATTTGCGTGACTTTTTGAATAAGCATAAATATCTCACAGCTTGACAGAAGTTTTAACATACTTTATGAGTAGGAAATGAAACTATTTTTCCGGATTTAAATCGCGTATATTTGTTTTTTCAAACAAACCGACGTTTCGGGCCCTTTACAGGTCCTGTCAACCGTGACCATGGGACCTGTAAAGGGCCCGAAACGTAGGTTTATTTGAAAAAACAAATATACGCGATTTAAATCCGGAAAAATAGTTTCATTACCTATGTGTAACAATCGCGAAAACTTAAGAACTCGATATACTTTATCCGGTTCTTGATTTGAACTATTTATTATGAGAAATAAACAAGTATCATTACTAATATTATAAACTTGTGTGTATAGATCTTGTGTTAAAGTTTACACTGAGTTGTAATGCCTGTAACGGTAACTTCATTTGGTCCCTGTCCCTAGAAAGTTACTACTTGAGACATACCTTCTAACCTGTGCAATATTGCATTTACTAAGTGTTCTTCTTCCTGGCTTAAATCCTCTACGAGTGCGTGAAACGAAAGTGTTTATTTGCTTGTGAAAACAAACCTTATTGTAAAGAAATCAGAAGCCGAAATTGGTAACCGTTATTGCCCTTTGAGCGTGTACAAAATTAAACACAATACTTACGGGGATACGATTTAATTTACATTTTTTTCGGTTACCGGTACTGCATCTTTTTACCGGTATCGAAATTTTTTATTGACAAATTGTTTATTCTACCTTAACGGAGCACATTTTGTGTTCAATTTCCTATGCGCTGAAATACCTATAACAGCCTTTTCGGTTCCTTATACAAACTGGCAAACACTCAAACGGTCTATTTAATGGAAAATGATACTAAGGAAGTATTCTAAACGTTGACGGTGGTAGCACATTAAAGTTGGTAGTTTTGATACACTACAATAAAGGCCACCGAGTCTACTATAAATAATACCGCAAAGCAGCACTGAGAACGATTTTATGATACCCAGTGAAGGGACGAACAAGTCATGCACCTGGTGGTAAGCGACACACTTGTCCTTACTAGTTGCAGTGCCGCAGTAGACTAAAGTTTGTCGCCTATTTAACGCTTCAGCATCAAGTCGACACGTCTCAACTCAATTAAATATCGATTAAAAGTTGGAAAAATTACCGCATATTTTAACATTCAGTATACTGACTATAGTGTTGAAATACACTGTGTATGACAGTTTCGAGTCCATTTTTTTGACCGATTTCAAAACTGGAGAAGGTTCTATGTTCGACTGTATTTATTTTTTATGTATGTGAACATACATAAAAAATATTTCCGATTTCTACGTCAATTGTGAATCGATTTTCAAATTCCTTTTTAATTTGAAAGGATATATACTCTAGAGATGGTCCAATTGTCATCAAATCCGAATCTGATGTGATTGTCGAACTCTAACAAATCAAAGGTTCTCGGATAGACGTGGACGTGTAAGACAATCGTTATCATCTTTCTATTTCTCGTAATGATATAACAGGACGAGCAGACCCCGCACCTGGGGGTCAATTCAGAACCTTACGATAGCTCAGTTCTCGACCGATTTCTTTTCGTTTTTATTCACAACCGAATCGAAACTGTCGTAATCGTAACCGAACCGAAATGACGTCACACCTGTACGATTACTCAAAGTTCTCGATCGGCAAAGGCAAAGTTACCGAACTTCCCACTGTTTAAAAAGCAAGAATGTAATGTAGATTTTAATACAAGACTAATGCATTCCTATATTTTTAACCGACTTTAAAAAAGGAGGAGGTTCTCAATTAGACTGTATGTTTTTTTATTACGTGTGTTACGCGTTAGACTTGTAAATATTTTGATAATTATTTTTTGGTTGGAAAGAGGGTACCTCAGATATGGTCCCATTTAAATTTGAAGAAAGTATTCCACCTCTAAAGGTAGCAAACTAGGGTATAAATGACTTTTGAGGTCGGTTTTTTTAGTACTCTGTACAGAGATTATAGGCCTTTAAAGTCTTAAAAAAGATTTTCATTTTTTTTATAATCTATTTCACCGACTAACTCCATAAACGCTGTTGGACGTAAGTGCCTGTAATTGCCGAAATAGCCCGTAATAGGCCTATTTGAATAAAAATATTTGACTTTGTCATATTATCGGCTCAACAGCATGAAGTGATGACTGCCAGACTCAAACACAGGAAAGATTAAGACAATTGTCGTTTTGAAATTGATCATTCTTTTAAGAAAAGATGGTTTATTGGTACCTAATTTTGCACTTAGACATTGCTGTTAAATGAACGACAATCTTTAGTCGCCTCACGATAGCTAGAATTGCTGCTTTGCGGTTAATAATTAATGTCCTCGACACATCAATTTAAAGTGAATTATCAAACGAAAATACTCACCTCCTGCGACACGTGGATTTGCTTTCTTTCTCGGCCGTTCTCTACTGAAGGCGGACCCGCTCTGTAGAGCTGCCATTAAACTGCAAATAAAATATAATAAATTAATATTATCTTAATTCATTATCAATAACGTCGAGCAGTAGGACATACTGATGTTTCAAAAAAATGCAATACAATAATTTGTGGAATAATTTATTAATACAAAGTTCGAACACAAAGAAGAATTCTTGAAAAAGACTTGAACCTGTGACCACCAGAGCGCTACTATAATTATAACAAACTAGTAGAGATATTTCACCAAAAAAATGAATGAATATCACGGTGATAAAACATCATTCAATATCAATGACCTACCAATAAATGGATATCGGGTTCGCGCTTAAAAGTGTCCGCATCTATAGGGCGTTAAAATCACATACAGAGCGTCAATGGCGCAACAGTCTACGTTTGTTCGACGGTCAGCGCGGTTGTCAATCATGCCATACCATATAATAATAACTTGTAAAAATTACTGCAGTAAAGTGTCAATACAGGGTTTTGTATCATATTTTCACTATACAAATATATTATGTTATCATAGTTCTCATTTATAAGTGTTATTTTGTACAGTTTTATAGTATTTAATTTATATATAAATGAATCGTAAATATAAATTACAAAAGCACACAAAATAATCAAATAGCTAACTGTCCTTTTTCTACACATTGCATGCGCAAAAGATGGAAAGAGACCCATTGTGTCAATTTAAAGAAGCTTATATATAAACTTCTTGGTCCTTTTCAATTCTTCGAACCACAAGCGATTGAAATATTTATAACAAAGAAACTATAGAGTCGCTTTGATTTGAATCTTATTTTTAAAAGATTTTTAATTAAACGTTAGCAATAACTAACAAAATATTGTTGTACTCGTTTTACGTCTTGGGATTACCTATTAGAAGTCAGAAAATACATTTGCCCGAAATAACGTTAGCTCGACTTTTCATAATGTCAAATGTATTTTTTTTAGAAAGATTACAAAATAAAAACTAATTTGATGAAATGCGTTTACGTTTAGTTGGAATATCGATACATTTCTTATAGTACACGCTTATTTTCACATTTGTAGTAATATTTGTATGTATGTATCTGCCCAACTCTTTGTCATTTCTTTAAGTGAATTTGTACAAAACTTGACATAATAATATGTATAAATATTAATTAATATTTACGATAAAGGCTTACTCCATTACTCTTGTGTTCAAGTAATTTTCAGTCGAAGCTAAATATGGTGCATTTTGTTAAATTTCCAGTAGAAGCTGGATATGGTGTTTTGGGCCCTTAAAATGTTGCAAGCAAAATTAGGCAGTACTGCAATGACGTTACAATTTAAATTAAATGTTTTAGTTTTTTATATTTCGTTACATGTGACTACGTTTGCATTGGTTAACTTCGGACATTTTTTCGTGGTTTTTGCATTAGACCCAACGTCCATTTGTTGGTAGGTCAATGTTCAATATGAATTGTTTCATACATTCTTCGGTATAAATCTGCGCACGCGGCGATCTACTACGTGCTGCACTTTAATTTCAATTCATACATTATTTTACGTAGTACCTTACCAACTGTTCACTGATACTTTTTTTATAATATCAAGTGACGGGACGACCAAGTGCGCCTGGTGGTAAGTGACAAGCCTGTCCATAACAGTTGCAGTGCCAGTCGGAGCTTTAAATCGCAAAGACCTGAAGGGCACTGCCACTGCGCCCGTCACTCTGAGACATAAGTTGAAAGTCCCATGTGCCTGATATTTCACCAGCACCCTCCAGGGTTTTCTTTTCCTTCAGGGTGTTTTTTTAGGGATAAAAAATAGGTAAGGTGGCAGTACTTTCCTCATTGACCTACTACCAAATGGATGTCGGGTTCGCGCTAAAAAGTGTCCGCACCTATAGGGCGTTAAAATCGCATACAGAGCGTCAATCGCGCAACAGTCTTCGTTTGTGCGACTGCCAGCGCGGTTGTCAATCATGCAGTACTATAAAATAATAACTTGTAAAAATTACTGCAGTAAAGTGTAAAAACAGGATTTTGTATCATATTTTCACTAAGCAAATATATTGTGTTATCATAGTTTTCATTTAAAAGTGTTATTTTGTACAGTTTTAAAGTATTTAATTTATATATAAATTACAAAAGCAAACAAAATAATCAAATACCTAACTGTCCTTTTTCTACACATTGCATGCGCAAAAGATGGAAAGAGACCCATTACGTCAATTTCAAGAAGCTTATATAAACTTCTTGGTCATTTTCAATTGTTCGAACTATAAGCGATTGAAATATTTGGAACAAAGAAACTATAGAATCGTGTTGATTTTAATCTTATTTTCAAAATGACTTTTTATTAAACGTTAGCAATAACTAATAAAATATTGTTGTACTCGTTTTGCTGCTTGAGATTACCTATCAGAAGTAAAAAAATACATTTGCCCGAAATAACGTTAGCTCGAATTTTCATAACGTCAAATGGAATATTACAAAACAAAAGCTAATTTTGGCTTTGTGTCCTCAAAAAGCCAAAATTAGCTTTTGTTTTGTTGCATCAAAATTACTTGAAAGCGTAATCATTTTATTATAAATCGGTTTTCGGAATTACGGATATTTGAGTTTACGTTTAGTTGTAATATCGGTACATTTTTTATAGTACAAGCTTATTTTCATATTTGTCCAACTCCTTATTATATCTTTAAGTGAATTTGTACAAAATTCGACATAATAATATATATAAAAATTAATTAATAAATACGAGAAAGGCTACTCAATTACTCTTATGTTCAAGTATTTTTCAGTCGAAGCTAAATATGGTGCATTTTGTTAAGTTTCCAGTAGAAGCTAAATATGGTGTTTTTGGGCCCTTAAAGTGTTGCAAGCAAAATTAGGCAGTACTGCAATGACGTTACAACTTAAATGTTTTAGTTTTTTATATTTCATTAGATGTCACTGCGTTTGTATAGGTTAATTTCGGACATTTTTTAAGTGGTTTTTGTATTGGACCCGATGTCCATTTGTTGGTAGGTCAATGACTTTCCTGGACGAACACTTTTACAAGGAGCTCTACTGCTACTATGGAGTCAATTGGCCCATACACAATAAAAAATCAATAATAATTTCTTGATTTCAGTGGGATGTATAATCAGCTCTATGTATATTACTTAAAGTTAAAGTAAACATACTCTTTGCCTATTTCTTGTTCCAATTAATCGAATAATCAGCTACAACCAAACATACCTGTCCATAACGCCTTCCTGCGCACGTTCCATATCGACGAACTGCTTATATCGATGCTGTCGATCTCTCCTCTCCCTCTCCGCTTGCGCACGCGCCTCTCTCGCTCGTCGAGCTCTTTCTTCAGTTTCCCGAGCTACTACGTTTTCCTGGTGGGCCGCCTGAAATCAAGCCGGAAAATTTAGTATGTATAGTAGCCGTAGTATGGCATGCAATGTTTGATAAACCCGTGATAAACCGCCCCGTGACATATTTATTTCAGTTAACAAAGCGGTATTGCCACTATTATTATTTTATATCGCGAATACTGAATAGGTAAGATACCGCACTAGAGTCATTCGTTCTTTCGTTTATTTGGTAATAATATTATAAATCACCTTTTTCAAATAATTTATATACAGGAAGATTTTTTAATCACTATCCAAATTTTTTTTGGGCATTAGGTATCGTTAATAGAACCCATTTCTGAAATAAAATATGTAGGTCATATTTTCACAATAAAATAATTTTCCCGATCCAATAATCAATAAAGCGTGGTAACCATTTCTAGCGTAAATTTCTCTAGTACGCAAGGCGGCAACATCAATCAACACACCTGCGCGCGCGGCGCGGAGACGGGAAGGGCTAGTTGCGGGGGAGGGCGGAGGGGTACCGGGAGCGGCGACAAGTCACGCACAAAGGTCACGCAGTCGCCCGCGCATTTCCGCCCGGCGAAAGCGTGTTATCTCGTGCGAATTGCGATACATAGCGCAGCCCCCGCGATGTACTCAAACCGCGAATATTATGAAATGGTGCGATGTTATTTATTAAGTGGCGAAAGTTTGAACGGAGCTCAAAGACTGTACGAAGCGGAAAGCCTCCCTCGCCTTCGCAACCAAGGTGTAGTGAATCCTTCGATACCGAACCGTGCCACGATTCTCGCTGCCAATCAAAGGCTGTTAGATCATGGCCAGTTCACTTCTCCTTCACATGCACAAGGGCGTGGAAGGCAAAGACTGCCAGTAGAGATCGAGGAAGAAATCTTCGATTTTTTCGAAAGAAACCCTCGTGCAAGTACTCGAGATGCAGCGAGACGCTTCGAGGTCAGCCAGTACGCCGTCTGGAAGCTGCTCAACACCGCAGGGTTGCACCCTTACCACTTCCAAAAGGTGCAAGCATTAAGTGATGCAGATGCTGCGCCCCGCCGAGCCTTCTGCGAGTGGCTAATTGCGCACCCGACGGCCGTTATAATGTGGACCGATGAGGCTTTATTTACGCGTGTCGGATTATACAATCAGCACAACGAACACTGGTGGTCATTCCGAAACCCACACATGATAAGGGAAACCTATCATCAAGTGCGTTTTAGTGCCAACGTGTGGGCCGGTATCGTAGGCAATAAAGTACTTGGGCCGTATTTTATCGAGGGACGCTTGACCGGTGGCACGTATCTGGATATGTTGCGTACGGTGATCACGGACTTTGTGGACGAGGTGCCCCTCGTGCACCTGCGCGACTTTTATTTCCAACAAGACGGTGCCCCGCCTCACTACGCCGCCGCGGTGCGCGAATACCTCGGCGCTGAGCACGGCGACCGCTGGATCGGCCGCGGAGGCCCCGTCCCGTGGCCAGCGCGCTCACCGGACCTGACTCCATGTGACTTTTTTTTGTGGGGTGAAATTAAAAGACGTGTGTATGTGGAAGAGGCTCAAAGCCTAGACGCATTAAAACTGCAAATCATACGCGCGTTTGATGAAGTGAAAAGAGACACTGTAGTGCTTAATAAATTGAAAGACAATGTGCAGAAACGTGCTGGACTCTGTTTAGAGAGAAATGGTTTGCATTTTGAACAATTGCTAAAATACACTTAGTTATTAGGATTTTAATCTTTTTTTTTTTTGTTTTATTGTAGGCAAGTTGAATTTCATTGATTTTGATTATTGTACATTCTAAGTTGATTCAAATTTTTTAAATACGCCTTATTGCAAAAGGTGCTGCCTACCTACCTACTTTGTAAAATTGCCTTCTGAGTAATTTAAACCTACCTACTACCTAGCTAATTTAAACGTTAACGAGTAACCTAAACTACCTTATCACTATGAAATTTAGGTAGGTACAATAATGCCTTTTGCGATCTGACGGTCCTAAGCCCGTTAAAGTATGAAGGAAAAATTTGCAACTTATGGATGTTATTATTTGTTATCAATCAAATGGCGGTGCGGGGGGCGGAAGCGCAATGCGCGGTGACCATTTACGTCAGGATTTTTTTGGATAATTTTGTAATGCCTTATCTCAATATTTTAGTACTGAATGATACTAAAAGAAAAAATACGTATATAATTATTTTCATTGCAGATCATAATATGAAATTTTGGATAGTGTTTAAAAAATCTTCCTGTATATATATATTTTTCTGTTTACAATTTATCTGTTTTTATTATTTCTTTCTATCCCGTTTGTCGCGCTCAATTTTTACGTTGATGAAATTATTGTGCAGGGCTGTCAAAATGTTTTAAAATCAGCTGTGACCTTGCGGCACCCATGTTTGGACTGCGATATTCTTTTGTAGCCATTCGCGCTTGCGATGTGACAAAAATATGACGTCACGGTGCTCGCCATGTTAGCTATTGTGATAAAATTTTATAATAATAGGTTTATCACTCGAACATGACAGATAAATGTAAAGCTATTATATCTAGCTTTATCGCGGTGATATGCTACCGACACACGACTGCTGCTTGACCAGAAGTCCCATGTGCCTGTAATTTCACCAGCACTCTTACCCTTCAAATCCGGAACGCAGTAATGCGAGCATTACTGCTTGGCGGCAGAAATATGTAAGGTGGCAGTACTTCCCTAGACGAACCCTTTCACAAGGAGCTCTGCTACGATTGGAGTAGTACTCCACGGACCAAGTCGCCGTATAGTGGCTCCATCTTGCGGACACGTGGCAGTGAATCGATAATAAGTTGTACTCACGGCAAAAGAGTCCTTAAAAGTTTTAATATCCGAGAAAAACTCCTCTAAAGTATATTTGTGCGGGTCGAAGACAAAGTACTCCGCCAGCTCCCCGTACAGTGCCTCCATTTTGCGGAACATTGAGTGAAGAAGGTCACTTTGCTCGCGGGCTTCTTTTGCAAACTCCTGTTGGTCTGGGTTAAGGAATATACTTAATATGGTCTCAAACCAGAGAATTTTCTGTATTAATAGTAGCATTTAATATATATAAATAATTACTATTCTAAATAATTAACCCGCCGAATGCAAACTGGGCAGGCCGTTGTGGCATTCTTTGGGGAAGGCCATGTTCAGCTGTGGACGACGAAATCATCATGAATAACTCTCATTACTCATGCTGCCACCAAAAGCCACAAATCATAATTGAGGCTGTCAGCGCAACAGTGGTGTAACCTAGTGGTGTAATCATTTTAAGTAAATTTGAAAACCTCGTAACTCCGTTTTTAGACAAAATCCCTTTTTTACTCTTCAAGTGTAATATGGAACAAATATAATTAGTAAACCCTTTTTTATTTACAAAATAAAGGCATGAGTCACATAATACTGTTTTGTGTGCCTACTCAAAAGTTATTAAACAAAAAACCAAATAATGAATACTTCATGTTTAGATGCTATTTTAATACAATAATAATAATAATCAAGAGTCGATCAAACCTCAGCTGGAATTCTAATTTTTTCCCGTACTGAAACGGTTCTAATGCGCGGGTCGGCCGGAAGGGACACTGGCTTTATTGCAGAATTTTTTTTTTTTTACAAACGAATTTAAAATCATTTGAAAAATGTATATTTTATGTATTATATTATACGTGTTCTATTTAGTACATAAAAAAGTCATTGGTATAATATGTTAAATGCCTATTGAATAAAACGGTTTTCTTGTAAAATTTCGAGGCAAGTTTGTTTTTTTTTCTATCGTGAAAATTTTCACACCGTATACTAATCAATGTATGTCCTCAATTTTTAACCGACTTGAAAAAAGGAGCAGGTTCTCAATTCGACATTTTTTTTTTTGTATGTATGTTACGCGATAACTCCGGTATTTGTGAATCGATTTTCATGATTATTTTTTTGTTGGAAAGGGGGTACTTCCATAGTGGTCCCATTTCATTTTGAAGAAAATCATTCACCACGACTTGAACATTCATTGAAACATTCATTTTTATAAATTGCGCCTAACTTTAATTTAGGAGCAATTACTTTAATGGTTGATTTTGCTATTTCTCCAATTCAAGGCGTTTTTCTCTCGATATACTTTGAGTAGTGAGAACCGATTTTTTATAACTCCAGTGTCAAGTCCTGTATAGTGGCGAACTAGGGGATATTTCAATAAAACTTAGCAAATAGACGTAACTCCACGTACTTTTGAGGTCGGTTTTTTTAGTACTCTGTACTGAGATTATACTATAAATATGTTTGCCAAAGTGATTGATGATCAACACTTTCACTGATATGCGGAGTCAACAAAAGCCATTTGAGGTTGTATCTTTACTCTTAAATATTTTTATATAAATGATAATAGCATCCAAATATATAAAAATTGTTTACTTTAATGTGGGTTAAAAATTGAATGTGGGTTACACCACTATTGCGCTGATAGCCTCAATCATGGAGAAGACATTGTTGCTCTTTTGTCCAAACAGCACACTGATTACTAAGGTCTCAAACTAGGGAATTCCCCGTAGTATGAGTACCCGACACAATTTTGAAAAACCTTCCCAAATTGGTCCTGCCGGGAATCCAACCCGCAACTTTCTGATGTCGCGCACACAGCTCAAACCTCAACCACCGAGGTCGTCAAATGCATGATAATACCTTCCACAAACCTTTCGAACCCGATGACAACGTAACTTGCGTGGCAGTTCAGAAATACTTATCCAATTTTTTTTGACCTCTCTATAGTAAAGATTTGAGTGTATCTAGGGGTCAACTTACTTGGGCCATGTCCAAAATTCGTCTATGACAGACCCGGCTTATTCCCGTCCATAATATATTCAACAATTTATATTTAGAGGATTCTAATTCCGGCTCGTGTACCTAGGGGTCAACTTACTTTGGTCATCTCCAAAATGCGTCTTTAACAAACCCGGCTTATTCCCATCTGTACATATGCAACTATTAATATTTCTATAATTCTAATTCTAGCTTACGATCTAATATCGACGCAGATGACACAGTCCGTCAGAAAAAGGTTAAAAAAAGGATACGCTCATAGTTTCGTGGAAGAGGTCGTCGGGCGATTGCTGCACTCGAGAATTGTTCAGATCGGTCTCCAGCGCTCGAATGTCGTTGTCCATCTTCTTCAAAGACTTCTGGAGGTTCTCCATTGACACGCGTGCCGCCCTGGTGGCGAAAATATACAGGGAGTTAGGTACAGAAGGCACAAATATTTACAAATGGAGCAAGTATATAGTACACGAGTGCAGTGGCAGTGCCCTTCAGATCTTTGCGATTTAAAGCTCTGAGTGCAACTGTTATTGACAGGCGTGTAGCTTACCATCAGGTGCATAACTTGTTCGTCCCGTCACTTGATATTATAAAAACAGTACTTATTATTGGCATGTATTTAATGATTATTTTAAATTTGCAAAAACAACAGGCAAAAACTCTAAACAAAAAAATCTAAACGGTCATCTTTTTTAATGATTGATGCTTTTTTTGAGACATAAAACAAATTATATCAATGTATACAGGGTGTACATTTGAGATGGGGCAGCAAGGCCAGCTACCTTAATCGTTGTAGTTACTGGAAAACGGTTCTAGAAAACTATCCATGAATTTTGAAGATATTTTGATTGGCATTCACAGCACAATCAAAACACTCAAATACTTTATTGCTTTTCCTTATTAGACTTGACCTATATAAAAAAAGAGGATCAAATATTATTTTTGACTATCAAATATTGATTCAGTATTAAACGTAATGATAATGTTACCTTGAATGCAGTTCATTTATAATTTATCCATAGATCAACTAATATCAAGACGGAACAATATATATCAACCCCTCCTACGTAAAGTATCGTATGTCGAAATTGCCAAGTTTACAGGGAAGCGTCTTAAAGTTTTGAATTCTCTGAAATGAGCATAATGACTTAAGCATTTCTCAGTTTTATTCGGCAAAGCTCATTACTCACATAGAGCATTATAAAATACTAGATATCGGTTAGATGAACAACCACAATTTATTTTATAGTTTTACACTGTCACCCGACCCGCACAGTCTCACTTTAGTTTACCCACTTGTTGACCCATATCGGCACTAGGATAAAATAAATTGTGGTTGTTCGTCTAGCCGATATCTAGGATTTTATAATACTCTATGTGAGGAACGAGCTTTGCCGAATAAAACTGAGAGATGCTAAGTCATTATGCTCATTTCAGAGAATTTAAAACTTAAAACGCTCCCTTGTAAATTTGGCAATTTCGACATACGGTACTTTACGTAGGAGGGGCGATATATGAAACAAAATGAATATAGTTTATTTAAAAAAGTGCACATTAATTTACCTTAGATCAATTATCTCCTTTCTCCTTCTTCCAGTTAAATGTCCTTCTTTTGAAACATGTATTGTAAGGTACTGTGTACGTAGGAATATATTATGTATTTGAAGTTATTGTATTATAAAGAGTATGTTTTTTTTAAAATTTTTATAATATTAAGTGAAGGAACGAACAAGTCGTGCGCCTGATGGTAAGCTACACGCCTGTCCATAACAGTTGCAGTGCCACTCAGAGGTTTAAGTCGCAAAGATCTGAGGTGCACTGCCACTGCGCCCGTTACCCTGAGACATAAGTTGACAAGTCCCATGTGCCTGTAATTTCACCCGCACCCTTACCCTTCAAAACCGGAACACAGTAATGCTGACATTACTGCTTGAGTACTACCCTGGACGAACTCTTTCACAAGGGGCTCTACTGCTACAAAAAAATGTACGTAATATGTATATTTATAAGTATAGTGTGTTGTTTAATAATTTGTATAGGTCTGTGTAATCATTTATAACTAGCAACCCCGCTTTTATTCATGTTTAATCTCTCCATTCTAAGGTGGTCTGGAAGAAATCGCTGTAAGCGATAAGACCGCCAATTGTTATGTGGTGCTAACAATAAAGAATTTTCAATCTATCAATTATATATGTGAGAATCAAGTAGTATTCCTCTATTATCATGTGTCACTATTCTCTTATTGACTGTTGCATTGGTTGCGTAATAAAATCATATAAATTGTATATTTTAGTAACAATTTTATGATACAGTCATTTTTATAAAAGGAAATCAGAGTGAAAGGTCACGTAGTTCGAATTGGCAACATCGGTTGGCGCAGGAGCGTGTGATCCGGCGCACAATCAGTTAAGTACCAATTTTCCTAATTTTTTTTCTAGGCTAAGAATAGACAAAGCATTTTCAGAAAGTTTAAGAAAGCAGTACCTGTCAATGTGTGGCATTTCTTCGGCGAAGTTGAGCGCGTCGGGGAATTTATTCTCGATCGTTTCAACTAAATAATGTAGTAGAGTTTGTTTGTTCTGTAGATCTTTTGTAGCTGTTAACTGGAAGTAAAGATTACTTAACATAAAATAATACTATCAGGGAGCTTTATATTCTGAATACTATGCGCTATCAACAAGCCAAATTGGATTCTTCCGTTATAATAAGCAAAAATAAAAGGAATTATGAGCTGTGTAGACCGCAGTCGGTTAGAACATCCTTCGCGCAAAGATAAACAATAATAATGAACTAAATAAAACATTCAATATTGCAAAAAACAATAAATAAGAATTGAAAAAGGAATTAATATATCACTTTAGAAAATAAGATCTGTTTTTGTGCCAAAAATTGTAACCAAAATTTGTGAAGAGAAACCCTGTATCGCGGGTGCCATGGACACACACATAGACAACAAATTGCACCAAAACACACGAGAAAAGTAAGCGTAGGCCATACAAACGTGATACGAAATCATTCAATCATTTTTACACTCCAAAATAGCAAAATAGGATATTTTTCTATGATTTTCCGAGGTTTTGCGCGAGACAATTGACGCGGCCATAACGACTGAGCTCAAATTCGCGGAACTCCGCGAACTGTTGGCACACGTACAGCGCAAACTAAGCACTTCTATATTTATTGTTCTGTGGGTCAAACCATTAGGTAACCACGGCTTTTATTGTAAATTGAATTATATTATAAAGACTAAAAAAATGTTCGTAGGATATTTTCACCAACAACATTACTACAGAAATATGTATGATTGTGTGTACAAAACTAACCTTGGTTAAAAAGCTGATCTCAAATCCGTACGCCCCCGCGTTATTGGACCCCGTGTTCATATAGTTACCGAGCAGTAATAACAGTTCTAATATCTTCGCGAATTTTCCAGAAGATTTTACCTCTTCGCACGCTGCCGTACCGGACACTATATCCTGTGAACAAATCGAACACATAGAAAAAATCTTCAATCCGGTGGGACTTGAACCCACGACCATGCTGCACCGTAACATTGTTTTTACCAACTGAGCCACAGGTTAAGTCACGAAGCTGTCGAAATTTTCGTATGTGTTTTTGTTATCTTTGTACTGGCTTTCAATATTCTTCGCCGTTAGTGACATCTAGTGATAGATTTTTGAAAAACCTATCCGCAGCCGGTATTTTTACAGATGCCTCAACTAACGTAAACTCAAACTCAAAATTTTTTTTTTCATAGGTAAACAAATTAAACTTGAAAACAATTGATGACACTCATTGTTTTTGTTAAAAGTAAGTAAAAAATAATATAAAATAATTTTACACTTAGACATTGTCATTACTGTTACTGCTATGTAAGTGTTAAATAGGTACGTCAAGTGTCCGCTGGAGATGAATTCTGACCATCTTTATCCGGAATATAATCAGTAACTCTGTGGTAGCTCTTATTTAGCAGCGCATTTTTAATATACTTTTTAAATTTCTTCTCTCACAGTTGGGTTACTTCACCTGGTATTTTATTATAAAAGCGCACACATTTTCCCATGAAAGATATGTTTACTTTATGCAATCTTAACATTGACTTAGAAATAAATGGACGACGGGTCTAATACAAAAACCACGATAAAAATGTCCCAAGTCAACCTATTTAAACGTAGTGACATATAAAGGAATATGAAAAAGCTAAAACGTTGAATTTAAATTGTAATGTCATCGCAGTACTGTCTAATTTTGCTTGCTTCGCTGTCTGTCGAACAAACGAAGACTAAAGCGTGAATGACGCTCTGTATACGATTTTAACGCCCTATAAGTTCGGACACTTTTTAGCGCGAACCCGACGTCCATATAATTGTAAGTCAATGAATCTTAATTGTGGAATTGCCAATTTATGTTTATTTCTTAAATTAAAATTGTATATTTTGTTGTTTCCGGGGAATAAATAAATATTTTTTCGTATGTACATTATATTGGCGTAAATGTATTGGCAAGTTACTGTCATTATTTTAATTTCCTTAAACAATTCTCTCAATGAGTCCCGACACCGCACATTATAAATATTACGAATCGCTCTTTTTTGTAAAACAAACACTTGCTGAATGCCAGACCCGTGTCCCCATAATAAAATTCCATATGATAAGAGACTATGGAAGAAAGAAGATAGATAGAAATAGATGTCGCTTTTTGATTAAATGCATTACTGAGGGTAGTACTGCCACCTTACCTATTTCTGCTGCCAAGCATTAATGTCAGCATTACCTGTGTCCCGGTTTTGAAAGGTAAGAGTGCTGGTAAAATACAGGCACATGGGACTTGTCAACTTATATCTCACGGGCGCGGTGGCAGTGCCCTCAGATCTTTACGATTAAAGAAAGCTGAGTGGTACTGCAACGTTATGGACAGGCGTGTAGCCTACCATCAGGCGCACGACCTGTTCGTCACGTCACTTATGTAAGAAATAATTAATTATTTATTTAAATACGATCTGTTGATTTGCATTCTCGCCATATTTACAGAGGTCGTTCTATATTTCCAAAACTGAACCCAAATCACTGAAAAACTAATTTTAACTTATTTTTTATTTAATTGCGGTAACCATGCTTGATCCAAATGTTTGGTATGTAAACAAGAGTTAGTGCAAAAAAAGAAAATCACTACCAGGTTCACCAAACCCTACATTACCATCAAGTGCGTTCTTATGATATGATGTGAAACGTTTAGTTTACGCAGATTAAGAGTGTCTGGATTATTTCTGCTTTTTGTGTTGTGAAGAATGTGCTAAGTTCAAAAGAAACTCTGATATCTGTTACGGAGCCAGTCGCAGATACACTACAGCTAGGTACTTCTAGCAATATTTTCATGTAACCTAAAGTTGGCAAGTACCAAATCCAAGTTACAAAAAATCTATTTTCAGTCAACTTTTCTAACTAATGTAAATAATTAGTAAATTATAACAATACTAGTACATAAACATAATTTAAAAAATAGATAAATAAGCGATCGAGAAAGATTACCTATCGCTCGGTAAAGAGAGTGGCGGGGTCACTGTCCTCCGCGGTGAGTACACTTGGGGACAATTTTACAAAACTTTACTAGATACAATTAGCCAGAATATTAAACACAATTTTTTTTTAATATTTTTAAATGATGTGGCATTATTTCTATTATTAATTTCTTAAATAGGGTAAGAATGCAAATCAACACACTGTATTATAAGGGTAAATAAGCTTATTCCATATGTTTATCTAAAAGTTTGTTAATTGATTGATTTTTAAGCTTAGATTGATTATTAAGCTTCCGAAATATTAGTGTGTAGATGGCGCGTCGGAGTTGATTATGATTGGTCCGAACATTTTATCTACCGGTTCGACGTGCCAATGGCATTGCTTTTAAAATTCCCTACTTGTGAAAAAATGGCGGGACTTGAAAAAGAAGGATTTTGTAGGCAATGGTGAAAGAAAAATTTGTCAAATGTTCAAGTTAAATTGGTCAGGAATAACAACGGTATTTTGTGGTTAGAAATTTTGTCGACAATATTTTAAAGTTCTAATATAAATTGTTGGAGGAATACATAATTTAATAAATCAGTTTGGTTAATACGGCGTTTTATTGGTGTTTCGAGAAGTGTACACTTAAAACAGCTTTGATACGTTTGTAGTGTCATTTTAATTAGTGAAATTATACCGTTTTCAGATGCTACATTACTTTAATAATATAATAAGTCTTAATTATAAATCTTTATTCATAGCCATTAACATAGTAGGGAACAAACTTACTTTTACCCTTATCCTTACTTTTATTTTTATCCTTTTGTGGGGTCTAGACGTTGTTGGTGCATTATTATGCATCAACAACATCCAGACCCCATAACAGGATTCAACCTGATTTTTACCATTAGGTACTAAATAACCGACCACGCTGTCTTGTATCGTGATGAGCAGCCCTTTCGAGTTACTGGCCCATGACACTACTGATATAACCAGTAAAAAAGTACGGATCGTCTGTTGCTACTTTCCATCAGGAGAAGAGTCAGAAAAAAAGATATCTTACCGGTTTGACTTCAGAAATGATCTCAGCATAATGCTCCCTGAATGCTAAACTCCTGAGTCTGGGCACCAGCCTCTTGACGTCCGCCACAGTGGCAGCGAACTGTTCCGCCTCTATCAATTCCTCGCTACGGCATTTTAATTCCGCTAGTTTTTTCATTTGATCCGCCGGTGGTAGGTACTACAAGCACAAAATAGATTCTTTAACATATCGCTGCTTTTTTTATTATATTAAATAACATGATGTTTATATTTATAGTACCATGATATTGTTTTTTTTTTGAAAATACCCCAATACCAAAATGAATTAAAGTCTGTTCCAAATCATTTTGAACAAAAAGTAAACAACACTATTTGGTTAAAATTCTAGAGCAATCACTCAATAAAACCAAGTAAGTAACAATTTCACGTATATTTCGAAGATTTCGACTTGTTATCTCATAATTTTTTCCAACAATATGTATTTGAATAGCATCATAAATTCGTAATTGAAAATTTTTAAAATAATAATTAGGACGCTACTCAAACGCTATACTGTCTCCTGATTGGTTAAATTGGGCCTAAAAGTATTGCAGTCGGGCCATAAACCTTCATAAAAAATTATTGGTTATAATATATGCAGTACTTGGCCAGTTCTATTCTATCTCTATGGTTTTTAGTTTTGTAGTTTGTTCGGCTTTCGTCTAATATATGAAGAGCCGTATGGTGGAACCTTTACCCACCCTAATAAATGGGTTAAAATTTATTTAAAAAAATGCGATTGTTGTCATGGTTTGTTAACAAAATATACATTAATTATTAGTTTTGTTTCATTATTTTATTTACTCTAGAAAAAGTACTGTATGCAAATCATTACATAATTAGGTATTAAAATCTCGTACCTATTACTTAGGCCAGTCGGCGAAGCCTCGTGACCTAAACACGGTAATCGACTTTAAGAACCAATCGTTGCATAAGGAGGGTTCCTTGTGTTTAGGCCACGAGGCAACAAAGGTTACAAAACAAAAACCAAAGAGATAGAATAGAAGTGGCCAAGTACCGTTTGAATTTTAACCAATATTTTTTTACAAATGGCCCGGTTGAAAAACCTTTAGGCAAATTTGACCAACCAGGACGCAGTAGAGAGTTTGAGTAGCGTCATAATTGATATTTTATTTAGCAAAAATACGACGTTCTTTATTTACTGCAGTACAGTACAGAGTACTAAAAAAACCGACCTAAAAGTCATTCATGCCTTAATCTGCCACCCCTACAGGTGGAATATTTTCATCAAATTTAAATGGGACCACTACATAGGTAGGGTAAGGTTGTAACAAAAAAGAATCAATAAAATTGGTTCACAAATGGCAGTTATTGCGTAACACACATAAAAAAAGCGAATTGAGAACCTCCTTCTTCGAAGTCGGTTAAAATACGACGTTCTTTATTTGAAACTCGTTAAAGTTCTATGTACAGAAGTATAATGAAATTTTTTAGTTCAGTAGTGTGTACCACAGATAATAGAGTTTTGATTCAGAACTAAAAAGAGAGCCTTTGTGATATGGTTTATGAAATTATATATAAATAACAGATTAAAAGTACAAGAGTAGAAAAATATACTAGTTGTTGTTTTTTAACTGCCTCCGTGGCCGAACGGTTACCATGCCGGACTGCCACGCAGAGGTCCCAGGTTCAATTCCCGGGCCGAGAGAAATAGTTGTATGGCCTACAATTATTTCTCTCGTGAGTTTGGGTGTAATTTGTGGTTGTCTATGTGTGTGTCCATGGCACCCGCGACACAGGGTTTCCCTAGTGCGGGGCTATGTTGAGTGTGTGCGTTATTGTGCGTGTGTGCGTTGTTTTAATCAGGGGCCTTACCATGAGCTCTTATTACGATTCAGTTCGGTACCTAATATGAATCGTTGTGAGAAAGCGCTACATGAAGTGCATATCACCATCCTGCTTTTTTGTCGTTACGAATCTATACTACTCTAATAAGAGTTCATGGTAAGGTCCTTGATCTGTTTTTTAAATTACTTCTTTACAGTTATAGAAATAGAGTTATGAATGCCTTACCTGTATAAGCAAATCTAGAACATTCGCCGACAGCACAGTAGTATCGCAACGCAATATGCACTGTCGTATATGTTCATAAGACATATGTTTCAACGACCCGCCGAGTAGGATCGAAATGTTCTGCGCAGCTTTACTGTCGAGTACTTTTAGATCTTTCACTTTTTTCAATGTATGGACTCTGGAAGAGGAAAATGCTTATTAAATCTGGGTCTAGATAGGCTGGTTAAGCTCATACTCCGGGACCAATATATAGGAAGAGAGAGACTGCTAATAATGTCTGTTCAAATCCATTTTAAACAAAAAGTAAACAAACTTGGTTAAAATTATAATGCAATCACACAATAAATCGATTAAGCAACACTTTCACGTATATTTCGAAGATTTCTACTTAATATCTCATCAGTTTTTCCGACAATATTCATTTAAATAGAATCGTATTTGAAAAATGGTAGTCAACAAGTGAAGTTATTTTTCATTTATACATATAGTAGTATAAATGAAAAATAACTTCACTTGTTGACTACCATTTTTCACTTGACTTATATAATGGTTGCATAGTGCTGAAAGAAAAAAAAACATTCGGTTCATTCAATTAAAGTTTTTGTAATCGATTAGTAAATCGAAAATTTCAATCGCAATCGAACGAGTGTCTAAGTGTCAGGATTTGAAGGATTTAAAATTAAGATTTAGGTAATTTTAAACATATGCTTTTATAAGTTACGTGTTTTCACTATTTTCATGTAAGGAAAACCGCTAGTATGACTAAATTAAGCAAATAGATTCATTCAATTAATTAATCGGTTCGTAGTTCATATTACAATTGGGCATCACTAAACCGTCTATGGTCAGGTCAGTGACTTGTTTGTTTTTATTTTTGTTTAAAATGGATTGAAGCGAAGTATGTATATATAGATCAGTGTACTAACTTGTCAACCGCATCTTCGTTCTTTTTCGTCATCGGCTTGCTGGAGAACTTCTGCGCTAGCCCGCTGAGTATGTCAGGCGAAGCAAGTTTGTCTTCTTGTACCTAACAACAAATTATCCCGATATATGACCCGCGCAATAAAACCGATCCGGTACAGGACTTCCGTCTTAACGAAGACAACTTACCTTAACCCAAAAAGCTTTTTCGGACATCTTCTGCGGGACGATGGTCTTCCAGTTGGCGCGTTTGAGAGGTCCCTCTACTTCCCACTTCTTCTTTGGCTTCAGGCCATAAGGAAGCACGTCGGGCTGAGCCTAGGAGAATATTGTTAAATAAATAAATAATACATGAAGATAATGATGCTAAAAACAAACAATGCTAGAAACTTAAACGTACTTTTGTATTTATTGAAAATACAGGAAAAAATACTTATTTACTAATTACAAGCTATGCTCACAAAAGCCCTTCTGGCTTTATCCGTGGCGAAGAAGTTCAGTCTATTTAAATAGAGATAATAGAGCAAAAATGTTAAAAAACTAACTTAATTACTTCTAGACAGGTACAAAAACATGCTCACTTAAATGTGCATAATAATAATTAAGCAGTTTTCAAAATAAATTTTGAATCTTCAGTTTTCAAAAAAATGTTTCTTAATGTATGACTTGTAGTGTTTGTTGTTTTGATAATTACATACAAATTCCTCACTCACTTTGTTCATTTATTTATTTATTTATTTATTTATTTATTTGCATATACACGTTACATTCAAAATGTAGGTAATGCAGGTAACAAATATTTCTTATTTCTTTTTCCATAACAGTTATAGAATTTAGGTAGTATGAATTTCTTTTTTCATTCAACTACTTTAGAGCGTATTTCATATTCATAGGGCGCCTTTATATTAGACGCTTATAGAAGCTCCACTATGGCGCTGCAGTTGCGCCAATACTAATTTTCATACAATATTTAGAAACGTAGTTGCAGCGCCACAGTCACAATTCCTGAAGCGCTACAGTCGCGCCACTATAGCGCTTCTACAAGCTTCTAATTTGAAGGCGCCCTTAGACACTTCTACAGAAACTGGATTGTATCCTATGATTCTTTAGTCCCAAAATTTCTTAAGTCGTATCAGTTCTGAATGCGAGGAATGACGGTCCGAAATGTCACAGAGATTATTTTATCTCTAGGTGCAGAAGCGATATCCAAAGTGGATATGAGTTTTCTAAATTTTTATAGTCTCGGAATCGGGACGAATATGAATTGGATGCAGTGTGAAACGCACTTCGAGCGCTGCTACACGATGCATTGCGTCGGCGTTGCAACGCCTGAGCGGTGACGCTGCATTATTACGTACAAGTACGATATACAAGATGATATGCCACACAGTGCGTTGTAATAGCACGTGGCGACGGAACGAGTTCGCATCGGACAAGGGGCCTGGAGACGAAGCGGGGAGGGGTGCTGCAGTGTGTAAATTATCATAGCGTTGTGACGACACAACGCACCGGCAGCGTCCGTGCGGCATCGCTCTTATGCGCACGCGCAACCTCGATTCGGTTGTTGTGTTTACGGGTTTTCCCAGTTCTGATGGTTACAAAGAAACCCGGGTTTGATTTTAAAAACCCGGGTTTTCCGGGTATTTTTTTGTTATTTATTGTGTATAAACCACTTCGATTACAATAATAAATGTGATAAAAAGACGCTTACGTAAATAATTACGTGTAAAGAAGCTACTTTTTACGTTGCTACGTTTCTTCCCTACCTACCAAACAACCAAGAAAACAAGCAATGCGTAAAGTGGAATGGAAGATTTCTTTAAGACTTTATAAAATGTCTCGTAATTTGGAAAGTCCTGTTTCATATATGATAATCCTCCCTCTCCTCATCCTTTGTTTCATTGTAGAAAATCAGTATAGGAACAGTTTCTTTTTTTTTGTAACATAACAAAAAGATCGAAAAAACCCGGTCTACCCGGGTTTTCACAATACTATGACCCGAAAACCGGGGTTTTCAATATTGGTCTGTGTTTCGATACCCTAGTTGTGTTAAGTGTGCAATAAATTTTTATAACGACGTGCAAAGTTATCAAGATTTTATTACATTAAAAACGTTGTTTATATCTTGTTGGCTATTCGAGCTCCTACGCAGAAGAATCAGTCTACCTAGATCTGGGTATAGTGTCTTATTTGAAGACCAAGTAAAATAACATTTGCAGGGTTGCCAGGTTTGGTAAAATTTTAAATAGTCATGTAGTTGATGTCGACAGTTTTATCGATAGATTGTGAAAGCCGTCTGAACTGTGCATGTTAAACCATACTAATGATTATTGCCTTCAATATTCTTATTTTGACAGTTGGCTTTCTAGTATCGAAACCAACTTTTATTCATATACATTTTATTAAAAACAGGCGGATTCTATAATTAATTAAGATGAAAAACTGATATATGTCTCTTCTTTGTATTTTTAATGGACATAGATCTAAATACAGTGTATGTGTACAATTGACAATTCAAATGAACATGTGTCCAGCAGTTGGACGACTAATGGGACGATGATGCATCAAATGAAACTAGTTCGGCTATTTATTGCATAAAAGTGACCAACATTCAATCGATAGTCGATAGAATATTTATCGACTGCAATCACTAGCTATTGCAACAATGAACTGTCATTTTACTCCGCCTTCAAAAAAGACAGACTATAGATTTATCAATTCATACAGAGGTCAGTTGCAACCGAGTGATCGTGTTAGGATTTTACGTCACTCACAAATTTCGGTGCCAAACCGCCAGGTGGCGGAGGCGGAGGTGCCAGACCTCCCATTCCGGGCATAGGAGGCGGCGGTGGGCCCATTCCCGGCATGGGCGGGGGAGGGGGTGCCCGGGGCCCACCAGGCATCGGCGGAGGTGGTGGTGGCGGGGGTCCACCTCCTGCTGGAAAATGAGACTATTATTGTTACGATTCGGTATATCAAAAGAAAAACAAGGTTTGAAAGAAAAAAAATAGACTTAAGTATACTTGTCGATTTCGCACTGTACAATAATACAATTAAAAACATAACCGACACGGGCAAAGGTGGCGGTCGTGGCGCAAGACCGTCTCTAAAAGAAACAAAAAAAAACATGCTACCAAAAACCAAGGTATTAAGAACATGCTATCATGCGATTACCGACTCTGCGCCTCTACATATACTTCTCATAAATTTACCATATCGTGGACTTACTTTCTCACACTCGTATCTTAAAGCACAAAGTTACTGAAATACAAATAATGAATTGTATGTACAAATTTTGCAGGCTGATTTCACGTCACATTTTCTTTATATTCCACACACTGGCTTTTACCAATTCTTAAAGTAATGCATTAACAACCTTGATAAGAAATTTAAAATAAATAGACAGTTTTGCCATCTCCTCAATAATCACTCTTTATAAGATACGAATTTGAGAAAGTAAGGCGACGATAAGTGACAACAACGTCTTACCAATTCGTCCATAGAATAGGATCGTAACTCAAACTCTCCGTTCAAACGGTATTGCACTGCACATTTCTTTTCTTGCAGGCTTTGCATATTACGTAATATAACGCAGGATGTTCGCGGAGGCTTGATTTATTAGGAGGATTGATTTCAGGCAGTCGTTCGCAAGGGAGTGGCATCCCTATTGCCAGCCAGAATGAGAGGTAGCACCAACAGTCTTCTTAAGGTGGTAGCAGAGAGGATAGACAGCCCAATCCTTAAGTATTGGATGTCCATCCTCGTGTATGAAAATGAACACTTTGCATTCTACTAACATAGTTCTAAGTACTTACTAACACTGTATGGAGATGTAAGTATACTTACTGTCTGAAATAAATTCTTTCATCTAATTTTATTTCAATTAATTTACTTTCATAACAAACGCACATCGAATACTGCAAAAAAACGTGCAGTGCAATGCCGTGTGAACGGGGGGTAAATTGGTCAAAAATTCCGTCTTGTCTAGATTGCGTTGATCAAAACTATTATATTATGTATCCGTGGATATCAATTATTTCCTCCTATGAAATATAAGCAGTTTTTTTTGTAACATTATTCAAATATTGACCATAAGCTAAAATTATTTTGTAAACTTTGACAAATTGCGTTTCAATAGATGGCATTGTGTGTTAAAAACTAATTTAAAAATTAACGCTTGCTAAGTAATATGGGTAGATGGCGCTAATCCTCATCAATTTAAAAGAATCCATAAAAATCCGTTAAATAAGCGCCACCCAGTTGATTTATTTGTTATCATTTTAGTTACAAAAATAGCTACTTGGCAATCGTCGCGACATCTAGTATATCAATAGGTACTAAATACACGACTAAGCTATCTTGTATTGCGATTAACATTCGTCTTGAGTTATTGGTCTATGGTATTACGAAAAGCATTCAAAACCCACCTGCAGGCATTGAAGGCGCTGGCGGTGGCGGCGGACCGCCTCCTACAGAAAAAAGATAGAAAGTACGGTCAAATAATATACATGCATGAGTAAGAACGAAAACAATATATAAAAAAAACACATGCTAAATTGTGTGGTAAGTGTAAACGCATGCTTGTGTAAGAAATAACATGCTATCGCGCTACGGCGTCCAAGTTACTTAGTCAAGTGTGTAGTGCTTAAGTAAATAATTACTTACCCCCAGGCATTGGTGGGGGAGGGGGTGGAGCTGGACCTCCTGGACTGCCGATTGCCTGTAAACATAAATTATTGAAGCCAAAATTGATCTCCTTTTCAATGTTACGAGTAGGCGAACTGAGTCATACAGTGAATCCTGAGTGGCGAAAACGGGGTTTTTTTTATCCACTGGATAAGGGTTTGTTGGTGTGCCACTAGCGATGGTGACGTCCCACCACTGAGGTGGGTCCGTGGTGGCCGACAATCGCAAGCGGGCCGTCGTACGTAAACCAAACTAATGTCTCAGTGTGACGGGTGCAGTGACAGTGCCCCTCCGACCTTTGCGACTTAAAGCTCTGGGAGGCACTCCAACTGCTATGGACAAGCGTGTCGCTTACCACCAAGCTACTTGGTATCATTAAAAATAAATCTCTTCCCTATTGGTACCGGTGTTCAGGTACCGTATTTTTTTTTATGATACTAAGTGGCAGACCGAACAAGTCGTATGCCTAATGGTACCGAAACGCCTGTCCATAACAGTTGCAGTGCCATTCAGAAATTTAAATATCAAAGGTTTGTGAGGCACTGCCACTGGCGCAGTGTCACTCTGAGACGTAAGTAGAAAAGTCCCATGTGCCTGTAATTTCACCAGCATTCTTACCCTTCCAAACCGGAACACCGAGGCAGAAATAGGTAAGTGGCAGTACTTCCCTGGACGAACCCTTTCACAAGGAGCTCCAGTCTACCGTAATGGAGAATACATGTATTTTTAATACTGGTAGCAAGTTTTGGTACTGACCTTGGCTATCGCAGCGATATTCGAAGGTGATACCCCACCGGGACCAGTAGGCCCCGTCGCAGCCTGTTTCATTCTTTCTTCTAGATGTGCAACTCTCGCTTCAGCTTCTTGTCTCGCTGCTATTGCCGCTTCAAGTTTACTTTTCAACTCTTCCACTCTACGCTCTTCTTCCGCTCGAGATTTTTCTGTATCAGATACTTTATTATCAATAACATCTTTATTTCATCGTTGTAACTCAAAAATGTATGGAACAATGTAATGGAATTCAGTAAACACGTTCAAAAAAAGGCGAATCTTATTGGGAATAATGGGATTATTTTTATTTATACATAATAAATTAGTTGTTTACTTGTAAACGAGAATACAAATTTATTGATTCCATCGGCCTTTAAGGTGACTTCCAAGGCCTGTGATTTCACAGGCCGCATTGCTTCGCACCAGTTTATAAGGGCATGCTCGCGCCAAATACAAAACTTGAGACGCCTTTGAAGTTACCATACCATGTGTTAAGTATGAAGCTTCATTCGCATCAAGCGCCTTTTAATTTGGTAGATATTACTTATTTGGCAGTAATTGTTTCGGACGGATGTCTAATAGAGAACGAGAGTATAGGATCTGGCCTGTAAGGACCCGTCGGATCCCTATGTATTAGTATGGTAACTTCAAAGGCATGTAAGTTTTGCATGTGGCGCCAGCATGCCCTTATTAATCAGCAGCTTGATTTTGATTGCCTCTCCCGATCGAAAACTGCATCTTTTCCGAGTCCAGGCGCATAATTGCGATTCACAACTGGCCGATCGGAAACTTTGACATTTCTAATCGTAACAATGGTCGATTTAACTCACAAATTAGAAAGATATAGTAGGAATCAGGTTTAATTTCTCGCTCAGAAGCCCATTCGAGACTACCCAATCGGATCTTCTACGATTTGAATCAAAATTAGGACGCTGGTGCGAAGCAATGCGGCCTGTGAAATCAATCAAATAAGTAATACCTGAGTATTACCGAATGAACCTTCATTCGCATCATGCGTCTTTTTACTTATTTGACAAAAATTGCTTCGCGCACATATCGGACTGAGAACGTGAGTGGACACCCAGGCCCGTTAGATCACAGGCCGTGGAAATCCACATAACACTTACGATAAAAATGACAAAAGTATTGGATCGTACCTATAAGTCCATCGATTAAAGGCTGTACGTCTATATTGAATCGCGCAGTAGCCCTGAAGTCTGGATCGTAGCCGTTTTTGTGTAGCACTATTTGTGTTACGCATTCTTCAATGAGCTTGTAGTACGCTGGCCTGAAACCGTTGAATGCCTTAGTTTAATTATATCATATATACAGTGTTATTTGTAAATTATCAACAGCCCGTAGGACTATATTACTAAAATCATAAACAACAACTTTTGTTCGACGACAATTAACAAAACAATAAATTTATCAAAAATAAACAATTTTTCCGGATTTAAAACACGTATATTTGTTTTCAGTGAAGATTAAATCGTGCAAAATAGTCGCACTTGTGTTGAATATTTATTTCGTGCAGTTAATTTTTCCACTCGCCCTCCGCATAAAATTAATAAAATAAATGGGTCGTACACAAAAAGGGAAGAAAAAGTGTTCCGGCTACTTCAATTGAATTTATATATATTGTCTAGATTATATTATTTGACCATGAAAACGAATTGTTGGACTTATGTGCTTTAGTCCGCCGACCCTAAATTTATTGTAATTTATTTAAGTTTAGTTTACGTTAGTCATTTACAACAAGTTTTGTAGATTAGTTAAGAGCATATCGCATCATCTTTGTTAATTTGTAAAATTAGTTTAATTAATTTTGTGACTTAGAAAATTATTAAATTAAAATGTGTGGGACTTTCTGTCGCAGGTGGATGACACCTACTAGGAAGTCCCAAGGTTGTGTAGAAACAACTAAAAAACAGAAATAAACTTTCTCTATTTTCATTTTAATAATGTCATCGGATTTCCAGAGTACACAAAGTTTCAAATCAGAGAAGATCCCTAAAAACTAACTGACGAGTAAACTCACCTGATTAAGTCATCGTCTCTGATGAACAGTAAATGCTGCAAAATAGACAGCAAATAAGGCTCAGCGGGAGTGTCTATAACGAGATTCTTGACCAGTTCGAAGCATTCGTTAGCTTCGTTGAAGTCCACTCTGAAAAAAACAAGTCAAATATGTTATAATTATTATAGCATGGAAACACTAAGAAAAATTCATTCGTTCCTGCTGGATTCAACCAGCACCTTAAGGCAATACGTGCTAGACGCCATGCCAATGAACCCACGGAACGCACTAACACATAGATAGATAAAACGTTTATTTGGATCTACAGACACCCATACATAACATAAAAATATGTATTTTAATTTTTTTTAATAGTTTGTTGTACAGGAAAAATACAACAAGTCACAAAGAATACAAGCGAAATTAAAAACAAAAGGTTCTGCTTATTTCTAATAGAAATTTCTTCCTGCAGACCTAAATACAGGACACTATAACTGAAAGAACGGGCACAACAAAACAAGGAAAAAAAATAATATAAAAATAATATAATAATATTAAATTGTTATAAATTATATAAATACTTAGATAAATACATATTTTATAATATAATACCTAAGATTTGGATGGAATAGTATATAAATAATGCTCTCTAACTTTTACTTTAAAAATAGCTAACGATTTACTTACGTCAACAGTAATAGGAAGTGCATTCCAAAGTCTGACCGCATGAACAGTGAAGGAGTGAGAATAGAAACCGGAATTGAAGCATGGAAAAGATAACTGGGACTTAACAAGAGAGCGACAGGGTTTATTCTGGCACCTAAGGAAGCTGAAACGCTCTTTCAGATACCCGGGAGACACAGGGTTATGTAAAATATTGTAAAGAATGGAGACAATATGCAAATTCCTGCGGAGACGGATGGGAAGCCATTTGAGTTGACTGCAGAAATGTGAAATTTGGTCATATTTACGAAGCCCAAAGATGAACCTTATACATAGGTTTTGCAGTCGTTCAAGCGTATTTAGCAGTTCTTCAGTAGCATCCAAATAGCAGGAATCAGCATAGTCTAAGAAGGGCAAAACAGCAGAGTCGCAGTACTGTCTGACACCCAGTTATGTATGTGTGGTGTAGCAGTGCAAAAAAGTCATAACTCAGCGTCCATGTTTGCTCAGGAGCAAACCGCTGATTTTCAGCTACAACCTATATAGTCCCGCGGAAACGGTAACCAGCTAGCTGACGCCATTTTCATGTTGTATAAATTAAACAAATAATAATTTCGAAACTAAATAAATACGGAGGATAATATAAATGTAATAAATGATAATATTTTTTTAGATTTGATTTAACTATGTTAAGAATACAATTAAATTATAAATTGAAATATTAAGAGAGAGCAGAGGAAAAATTCCTAATCTTCGATTTGATTTTAGAGGGGTATATCCACTTTAAAGTTAAAAATAAAATATTATATGAGTACACGATATATTCAAGCTTTATATTATATATTCATTACTCAGAAACATAAAACAATAAAGTTTCCTCGATAGACAAAAATCACGAAATGACCTCAAATTTTCAAATTTTTTCGATTTATCCTCGAAATGCTACAGGTTATTAGGACAAAAATTAGATAATTAATTATATTTAAGCATGATCGACAACTATCACTACGGCTTTTTTTTTAATCCTTTTAGTTTTAGAGTTATTCCGCTAAAACGAATTTGCTACTTTTAATGCGCAAAATTCAACATCTCCTGTCGCATATCACGCGAACTTCAGGCATATATTTGTTTCACGAATTTGGGCGGAGCCAACGTCAAAACTTTTTTGGCATGCTCCCTCTTAAGTGAATATTATATAACAGTCAATTCAATTATAAATAGGTTAGGGGGCCTACCTTAACCTTTCCAAAAACAATCTTATTTCAATGTAAGTTTAAAATAAGCTTAATATAATATTACTCATATTCGTACCATGACAAACCTGTCAACCAAGTAATGTATTATTGCTATAGTGATTGAAAGAACGAATGATTTCCCAATATTGTCTATTCCTTATTAACAATAGAAAAGAAATAACGCTATATGAACTATATAATACCATTCTTTCTTTTTTGGTGTTTCGAATCGTCTTATCGTAGTATAACGTTTAAGTACTTTATGTTATTCACGTAACCCATGTACGTACGTTACGTTACGAGTTACGTTATTTTAAATTATTTTTCCGCATTTTTATGAAGAAAAATAAATAAAACAAGCTGAGTCTTGATAGTCACGCTGTGAATTCTGATCTATAGTCTAATGTCAACTGTTAGTTTCGCCAAGGAGCATATAGATGTCGCTGTCATAATTTTACGAAATAAACATCGCGTATTTTTATTTAACAAGAAATTATTTCCTATGTATAATAATATTAGAACAATTTTACTGTAATATTAAAGTCGCGTCACAGTATGAACTGAGTGACTGATTAATCACAAAGCTGCCAATAAAACACCATAGTTTTAACATTATAATAAGCTTACTTTAAGCGCGTTATGGTACGAAAAGTCAATGTAAGGTTAAAGTAACATTGTTTTGAGAGGTTGTGGTAGGCCCCTTGTTGCTATTACACAACGTTATGTAGGCAATTTTCACCACTTAAGCAAAGCGCGGAATACCCTGTGGAATACCCTGTTTTAAGTGTCTAGAAGACATCTTACGAATTCTTCTACGTGTTTGTTGCAGATCATTGTTTTTGTTTTTAACGACTTTTTTCCGTAACGCCATCTGTGAGAAATTTAATTGTTTCACTCAGAGAGATACCTTTGTAGCTACCATCGCTGACTAGAGATGTCGCTTTAATAACTGTAACTTTTAAGTTTATCAAATGTCACGATGTTTTACTATCATGATTTTTTACCTCACTAGTTCGGAAAGGCATTTTTTCTTATTAGAAATCTGCGCACAAAAGCGTTTCCATGCTAGCGTGGAAAAGGTTTTCAAATTCGAACTTGACGATGGACTGTGGTGCGTCTAACTTTTTCTTTCGGCGAAAAAAGCAAAAAGACACGTTCAACTATGCGATTTGTCGTTACATTATTCATGTAATATAAATCCGTTGGTATATTTTATTCTTATTATTGTTGACATTAAATTGACAATGATAGCTAATTGCGTTTATTAAATTATTGTAATTCGTTGAAGAGCTAACATAATTTCAATAATGACTTAATCACACAAAATAAAAGTACTAGCAAGAATAAAAATTTATGATGTGTAAATTCAGAATGCATCCTAAGATAATCTTTTTCTTTATAATTAAAAAAACAACAGATGTTTTATAGTTCAACTGGTTTTCTTTCATTCACCATTCTCGTGGTTTCGAGCCCTCGCTCGGGATTCTATTTTTGAATCTTACAATCCTTCGCTTGCTCAGGTTTCAATACAGCCTTACATTATCAATAATAATTAATTTCATTGCTCACCTGACGTCATCAAACTTGGCGACGAACTCATCTTGGTCGGCGGCCGCGTGATTGTCGAACACATTGATTTGAATCTTACGTCCGCCCTCTGCGCCTGACCGCAGCTGTTCTGCGCATTACCATTATGTAAATTAGCATAATAAATAAGCAAATATAAAATAATAATATTAATAATAGTTTATTTTCTACATCGAGTATATAACCAGAAATAAAGGCGAAATGTCATTTAATTTGTTTGAAAACTATTCTGCTTTATCATTACTGTGACAACTGCGCTCCGATTGGCTAGCCCGAGTTCGAAACAATTGACGGGTGTTGTCAATGGGTGTCGTCAACTGTTTCCTTCGAATCGACCAGTTAACTTGAGCTTTGCTATAATGGACGAAAATTTCAAAATTACATATTTAATATTTAATTACCGATGAAATGTGATTCCGTTTGTTTTGAAATTAGATGTTTTGCTGTTTTTCCCACACCACCGAATAGAAAAGCACGGCATAGTTAGAGATATTATCTTTATTACAATAAATATAGAATATTTTTTGGAATATACGGAGACGTACACACAGGTCAGTAGTTGGCCTGCCTATGTTACAGTGCAAACGGGAGTTGATATTTATAAGAGCTGTATCGCTAATGTGTTACCAGGAATATATAGTCCTTATTTCGTCTCTATTTCTGGTTATATACTCGATATTTTCTATGACAGTTTAAGCATTGCAATAGGAGTCTCCTTTTAAGCATTGTGATGATTATAACAGGAGACTCCGGTGTTCTTTAACCATAGTTTGTAATACATAAATTGTATCTTAATCGTTTATGAACTATTTAAAAATTTAAACTGAAAAAAATTGTAATTAGAAAGTAAGCTATTTCACTTATATGCTCGTAAAGAACAATGCTCTTTTGGAAACGCAAACATTTTAGTCGCAACCGGTTATAAATTTATAACCATCTAAAAATATGTTATTAAATAATATAAGTTTCATTCATAACACTTTCAAATTTGGAGAAAAAAGATATGAATATTTTAAAATATGTAAAAAGGCATAGTTAATATTTGTTTTTGGTGGTAACTCGACTTACATTTTGATATTTTATTTTAAGCCTCGTTTACGCTTACATGATTTCTTCAATGGTGAGATAATTATGAACGAAAGTTAAAATAATTGTGACACCGATAAGCAATGATCTTCCATATATAAGTCTTCTTTAACTTGAACTTAACTATCAAATTCAAAGTTGTCCGAAAATTCAAGTAGAAATTGTCTCAACATTGCAAAAATGATGTCAAGTGTACATGAGACTTCAAATTAAACTATATTACTTCCTTCGATCCCGCCGGATTCGAACCGACGTTTCCTAGCAAACCGTGCCATACGCTATGCCAACTAAGCTACGGAACGAACCAGCGGACCTCACGAATTTTGCTATGGGCTTGAAAAGAGAGTGTTGATTTAATCAACTTTCTTTAGTTAAAAAATATAAATCCCGAATAATTAGAAACTATATGGAAATACAAATAAAACCCAGTATCTGAGTTTAATAGTCGTCAAATTTTTTTTAGCCGATCCACTGTATAAAACTTGGGCTTTGTTCTTTATATGTTCACCTTTAGGAGTGTATTGACCTATGTAACACCTGTAGAGCATGCAAACTTACCAATCAAATCATTTAGCCCGGTCCTCATAAATTCGCTTCTTAAATGCATTCTGAACTCGAGTTCCTCCGGTTCTGTTATAATGGCGTTCATAAGTTGCATGCAGCCTGTCTGAAATGCGAGTAGCTAAGTTTAAAGGCAGGTATAAGTAAAACAGATATCACACCCCGGTTTCAACACTGACACAACTCAAAAAGGACAAACGTGTCACGTCAATTGATGATTATGTTTGTAATTGAGATTACGTACAGGCGTATGTAATCTCTGTTTTTTCATCATTATAAAAAATAATAATTTATATCTCTCTTTATTGCTTCCAAAATAAACAAAACAAAATTACAAAAACCTTAATAAAAAACAAGTACACCGAAGATACTGAGTAAATATTTTTGGAATTAGAAACTCGCACCCCTCATGGAAGAATGGCATAAGTGCAATTGTGTCAAACATGTTTATTGCTCCATTAGATACAGAAAAATATAACCCACATCCTCTCCAATTGTAGATTAGATACAGAAAAACATAACCCACATCCTGTCCAATTGGAGATTAGATACAGAAAAATGTAACCCACATCCTCCCCAATACGGAAAAATACATTTATGTATACCGGGTGGAAATTTGTAATGCCTCCTGGAGGGAAAGTACTCTAAATACTCTAAATAATTTCCACTTAAAGGAAATATTCCTTTATTTTTTAAAAGAAACAAAACTGCATTCATAGATTTTCGAAAATTTCTAGCAACACGCGGGAATCGAACCCGCTTTAATCTGAAAAAAATGCACCCTGCACTTTTATTGCATCGATCGATAGGGTTCATTATAAGAATAAAATCTCTCTCACAAAATTGGTTAACTAAATGAAAAAAAAAAAGAAATTTTAACGTATTTTAATAAAACGAAAAAAATGGTAATCTAACTAATTAGTTGCTCGAAATGAGCTCCATTTCCTTGGATACACAAATTTGATCTTTTTATTTATGTTAAATTATATATTATATTTTTCTGTATCTAATGGAGTAAATAAACATGTTTGACGTAATTCCGTCACAAATTTTTTTCACATTAAAACTGCCGTCGTGGCTGAACGCTTGCAATGCTGATCTGCCACGCAGAGGTCCCAGGTTCTATTCCCAGGCCGGGAGAAATATTTCTATGGCCTACATTTATTTCTCTCGTGAGTTTTGGGTGTAACTTGTGGTTGTCTATGTGTGTGTCCATGGCACCCACAGCACAGGGTCTCCCTAGGGGCTACGTTGAGTGCGTGCGTTGTTATTATTATTAGTATAAATTAATCGGAGATATACGCGTCCTCTCGTTTCGAGAATTTTGATAGGAGTGACGACGGAAAGAACCAACGTAAGAATAGGGAAGGAAAAGGGAATTTAAGAACGATTCACAAAGTAAAAAGGTTCATGCAAAGGTGAGATGACATATCGACTGTGAACTGGCAACCGTTACTCTCTCAATTTTGACAACTTTACATTGACTTTACAGGTGAAGAAAAAAATTGCTTGCGTCATTTATATACCATCTGGTTTATTAAATAAAACTACGTAGTGTATGTGTAATGAAAATATTTAAAAATTACGTATTTTTATTTAATAAATCAGATGCTACATAAATGACACAAACAATTTTTTTCTTCACCTGTAAAGTTAATGTAAAGTTGTCAAAATTGAGAAAGTACCGGTTGCCAGTTCATTCGATATGTTCTTTATTTATTTATTTATTCATGGAAAACCAACGGCTTCAACCATTTAATAAAATCTGTTATTTGTTCTTCGATTAAATTCCCGGCCGATCACTCGTCAATGAAATTACAGGCACTTTTAAAATTGTCTCAGGGTGACAGGCGCAATGGCAGTGCCTCTCGGATCTTTGAGATTTAAAGCTTTGAGTGGCACTGCAACTGTTATAGACAGGCGTGTCGCTTGCCATCAGGCGCACAACTTTTCGTCCCGTCACTCAGTATCTCAAACACAAAACAACATGGGTTAAATAGATTGAAAATAAATAGAATTTCTAATTACCTTCAAACTTTCCGGTGCTTTGGCCTCTAGACCTTCTATGATGGGTAGTAGTCGAGGCTTCTGATGCGACTCGCCTGCGATAGTGATCGCCTCCAGGACCTTCTCGTGACCGTTGGGGATCAGACATATTGCTGCTAATACCTGGAATATAGAAAAAATGGATGAAAAGATTGTGGCCGTATGTCTATTTTTATATATGGCCATCGATCAAAGTTGCGATCTGTTGAAAAATATCGACAGAACTTCGTTATATTAACTAAACTAACACCACGTGTTTAAGTTGAATTTTTTTCGACTTTAAAGCGTGAAACACACAGAGAACGGGTGTGGGTCCGGCGCGTGTCGGGCGCGTGTCGGGTGCGAGTCGGGTGCGAGGCGAGTGGACAAGCGGATGCGGGATCCGACCTGCGTCCTTGCGATATTGCTAGCCCTGGTGCTAGACTGTACATGGAATTTTATTTCTTATGCGGACAGGTTGTACCTTAGCGGCCTCCAAAGCAATATGAGGTTTTCTCGCATCGAGACTTCTCGCCAGAACGGGTAGCGCCTCGCGGCAGTCGAACATCGATCGGATGCCAACTGTGTTGTTCAAAATGGCGGAAATGCATCGTATGCATTCATGTTGCACGCGGTCGTAGCGGGAGTCACTGAAACTATAAAAAAGAAATAATTAATATGATCATCAATATACATCAATATGATCACTCCATGTGAGTAACGAGCTTTGCAGAATAAAACTGAGAAATGCTATATTCACGTGTTATGCTGATTTCGGTGAATTCAAAACTTTAAAACGCTCCTCTGTAAACTTGGCAATTTCGACATACGATACTTTACGTAGGAGGGGTCGATATGTGAAGTGACTCGGACCCAGAATAGTACATTTCGAACAGAGACTCTATTAGAAGCCCAAAGTCGAAGCCTGAGGGCTTTCGGAGTCGAGGTTCGTAATTCCCGTACCGCCTGTGAAATATGCAATGTTTTTCATTACACTTGCACGCAAATAGTATGATTGCATGCAGGCTAACCTGACTATAATGCCCCAAGTAAAACCCTCGGACCTTTTTTTTCACAACACCATGGTCGTATAATATTTTTTTTTTTTTTTTCAAAATGTCACATGAACAAGTCGTGCTATCCATAACAATTGCACTATCCTCAGAGCTTTAAATCGCAAAGATCTGAGGGGCAGTACCACTGCACCCGTCACCCTGAGACATAAGTCAACATGTCCCATGTGCCTGTAATTTCACCAGTACCCTTACCTTTCAAAACCGGAAATAGGTAAGTATCGCCTGACAAGTCACCGGATATCATGAGTGTTGTGTGTCGGTCTAGTAAACAACCCCAGTGCACCAATAAACAATGAAGACCAAGTGCGGATAGCCAGAAAAACTCGCACTCATAGAAGATGTTGACAACCGCCTCTTCAGTCCCTTCCAGACCATGGCCGTTGCAACACGTCACAACACACGTAACATATTGTTTCGACTCTTATACTTTAATCTGTCTATTATAATTTAATAAACCATATCACAAAGGCGCTCTTTTTAGTACTCGCTAGTGAACTGAAAATATTTCATTATAATTCTGTACACAGAAAAAAGAATGTCGTATTTTTACTAATTAAAAAAAATATATCGTCGCCTTACTTTCTTAAACTCGTATCTTTAAGCACAAAGTTACTGAAATAAAAAAAATGGGTTGTACATACAAATTTCGCAGGTTGATTTCACATCACATTTCCTTCATATTTACACACTAGCTGCCTCCGTGGCCAAATGGTTACCATTTCCCGGACTGCCAAGCAGAGGTCCCAGGTACGGTTCCCGGGCCGGGAGATATATTTGCACGGCCTACATTTATTTCTCTCGTAAGTTTGGGTGTAATTTGTGCTTGTCCATGTGTGTGTCCATGGCTACCGCGACACAGGGTTTCCCTAGTGCGGGGCTATGTTGAGTGTGTGCGTTATTATTATTATTATTATTAACCTATTCTTAAAGTAATGCATCCAAATTAACACCCTTGATAAGAAATTTAAAATAAATAGAAAGTTTTGCCATCCTGAATAATCACTCTTTATATTATCGAGTTTCAGAAAGCAAGGCATCGATGGTAGAGCTCTAAGGGTCGTATTCCAAGAACTCTACTCAATACTCAAGTCAGGACTTGAGTATTGCAGTGAGCACTGAAAATCATACTCAAGTGCTTGCCATTAGGGTCGTATTTCCAGTGCTTGAAATCATACTCAAGTCTGCTCAAATCCTGACTTGAGCATTGAGTAGAGTTATGGAATACGACCCTGAATTTTATATTTAAAAACAGTTAGTTAACGTGTCCGACTTATCACAACTTACCTTAATGATGCATAGCTGAATATCATTAAACAATTTCAATATAATAAAACTGAGTTAATGTTTTTTTAAGATATCTCAAAAAAAAAAAAAAATTTTTCACGTAACCGCGTTTCGATCAGCGGACGGCAGCGTTCCTCAAACACTCTACTGCTTCCTGATTGGTTAAATTGGTCTTGCAACCGGGCCCGGCAAATAAGCGGTATTTGGCCACATCTTTTTTTTATTATGTAGCATTTGTTTGGCTTTCTTTTGATTTTGTTGCCACGGATTGATACATTATATTTATCATGTACAAATATGTACGTGTTCTCTGTTAATGCATACTTACCGATAATATCCAAAACCACTGAAGGCATGTAAAGCAAAAACGAATAATAAAAAATGTACATGCAAAATAAAGATAACATTTTTGGGCACAAAATGAACATGTGTGGTAGTACTAACGTGACCATACGTTCCGCTTTGAACGGGACAGTCTCGCGTTTGAGTTTCGTGTCCCGCTGTTCCCGAAATACTTAAAAACGTCCCGCAATGACAAAATAGGACACACGTCACAATAAATTTAAAAAAATAAGCCTTGCCGCCCTCGCCTTTTAGTTGTGGGTCCGTATTGCGCGTGCATTGTTATTGGCGGGAATGAATCGGTGGCGTGATATGCCGTGTAACGGATTTAAAAACTAAACCTCACACATTAAACCAAAGTTCATCCGGAAAATATATAGACAAATATTCGACGCCTCCTACGTAAAGTATCGTATGTCGAAATTGCCAAGTTTACAGGGGAGTGTTTTAAAGTTCTCCGTTTCATTCGGCAAAGCTTGTTACTCACCTAGAGTGATCATCTAATAGATCATCTAACCGATATCTAGGATTTTATGATACTCAACGTATGTAACGAGATTTACCGAATAAAAGTGAGAAATCTAAAGTCACGTGTTATGCTTATTTCAGTGAATTCAGAACTTTAAAAGGCTCCCCTCTAAACTTGGCAATTCTGACATACGATACTTTACGTGGGAGGGGTCGATATATCACACAAGATTAGTTCTTTTTAACCGACTTCAAAAAAAAAGGAGGTGGTTCCCAATTTGACTGTTTTTTTTATGTATGTTACTAGATAACTCATTTGTGAACCGATTTTGATGATTCTTTTTTGTTGGAGGGTACCTCAGTATTGGTCCCATTTAAATTTGAAGAAAATATTCCACCTCTAAGGGTGGCAAACATGGGGATGAATTCGGTTTCGGAAAAATAAAAAATATAATGGTCACGTTAGGTAGGTAATAATAATAAAGAAGACTGCTAATCTCCATAACACAGATGATAACTCTGAAAAAGGTCAAAATCAGGAGTGCAGACATACAAGAAGATTGGGTGAGAGAGAAAAAGAGAGATACAACAAAGAGAGACAAGATGTACTTACTTGGAATAACAAACGTTGAGCGTATTAAGCAAGCTGACAATGCCTTTAGTTCCAAACTCTTGAATCCAAGACAATGGGTTGTTTGTCAGCGCTATCCTCAGATTCTCTAAGCAACTGTGAAGTTTGCCGACGGATAATTCTGGCTGGTTCAAATAGTGGACGTAATCGGCGGGCTTTTCGAATTTTGATCTGCCTTCCTGGAAAAGAAAAATTATTTATCACCTCACTAGCTCGGAAAGGCTTCCTTTCCCATTAGAAAATTATTATAGCAAAGATCGAAACACTAAGAAAAATTCATTCAATTCGGTTGGATTTGAACCAGCACCCTCAGGCAATACGTGCCAGATGCTCTGCCAATGAATCCGCGGAACGCACCAGCAGATCTTATGAACTCTTCTACGAGTTTTTTTCAGATCCTTGTTTTTGTTTTTTAACGACTTTTTTACCGTAGCGCCCTCTGTGAGAAATTTATTTAGGTACTTTTATAGCTACCATCGCTGACTAGAGATGTCGCTTTAATAACTGTAATGTTTAAGGTTATCGAATGTCATGTTGTTTTTCTACCAAGATCAATTATTTTTCACCTACCTAGCTCGGAAAGGCAAAACATATTGACACGTTCAACTACGCGATTTGTCGTACATTATTTGTATAATATAAATCCGTCTTATTATTGTTGACATTAAATTGATAACGATAACTAATTTTGTTTATTAAAACTGTTTTTTTATAGTTCAACCATTTTTCTTTTATCTACCATTTTCCCCGCTATAGTGAGGCGAAAAATTGTGTGTTTCGCTCGGCAGCAAACTTGTTTTGCATCTCGTGACTTGAACGTTTTTTAATCTTAGAATCCTTCGCTTGCTCAGGCTTCAATACAAGCACGCGCTCACAACTTTGCAGCCTTAACAAATAACTATATTATATAACATTCAAAATGAAAGCACGGGAGTTAAAAACTATATTCTCAGCTTTATCAGCCCTACCAAGACTAAATAACGATATGTTTTTTAAATTTAAATTTAAATACCAGGGTTCAAAATGATAAAGATATATATTTTAATCATTGATTTACAATTATATGGACGTCGGGTCCGCGCTAAAAAGTGTCCGCACTTGTAAGGCGCTAAAATCGTATACAGAGCGCGACACTCCGCTTTAGTCTTCATTTGTTCTACTGACAGCGCGATACTGCGATGACATTACAATTTAAATTTCGAATAGGTTGACTTGGGACATTTTTTTCGTGGTTTTTGTACTAGACCCGTCGTCCATTTATTTGTAAGTCAATGATTTTAATTGATAATAATTATGATAATTATCCCTAATTAATTGACAGTACTTTAACCATCGAGTATATAACCAGAAATAGAGACGAAATAAGGGCCATCCATATCTGGCAACTCATCAGGCAAATGGGCCTTATATCAGTTTTAAATATCAAGTCTCGTTTGTACTGAAATGACGAATTAGAAAACTGAATTAGTACAGCGCCAACAACTGACCTGTGTGTACGTCTCCGTATATTCCAAAAATATTCTGTATTTACTGTAATAAACGTAATATCTCTAACAATGGGGGGCTGTTCCATTCGATGGTGCAAGAAAAACAGCAAAACATCTAATTACAAAACAAACGGAATCACATTTCATTGGTAATTAAATGTGTAATTTTGGTGCCGTAAGTGAAACAATTGACGACACCCGTCAACTGTTTCGCATTCGGGCTGGCCAATCGGAGCACAGTTGTGGCCGTAATGATTTGGCAGAATAGTTTTCAAACAAATTAAATAACATTTCGTCTCTATTTCTAGTTATATACTCGATGACTTAAACAGTACTACATACAAAAATCTCAGTAATTTTTTGTCCTAATGTTTATATGTATATAGATTCAATTTAGCCGAATCTAAATTCACACCTAGCTCTCGTCGCACCAAAGTAGTGGTATTTCCGAAACCAAGATTGGAATTGTTTAGAAATGGCTTCGCAGTTAAAATATATTCATCTAATTCCTTGTACGCGTTAAAGTTGAACAAAAAGATACATTTTTCTTTATATTATCTCCGTTCAACCATTTATTTAACATTTGACAGCTCGAATTCTAATCAATTAATTAGTGATGTCCTAATGCGTTTCTGATTAGATTTTTTTATAACAATCGATTTTATTTATGAAGTTTAAATCGTGAATTTGAGCGGGTTCAAAAAAGAAGATATTGTCTGACTGGGATCGTGATCTTGCGTTTGATAATTTGTGTACCTACTCAAGAATTAATAATTAATGTTAATGAGGTTTCAAGCGATGATTCCCGTCCATGTGGAAAGCAATTCGACGATTCATTATAATAAACAATAAACATTTATTATAATTATTTATAATTTATTTCATTTCATCATCATTTATTAGACAGGTTCCAAAATTTATCAACTTGAACAATCTTCGTTACATAATCTGTTGGCTCGATAAATATCGGAGCTAAAGAGCACGTCGCTTCACTAAAACTAAAAAATAAAAGAGTCCAGGTAGTATTGCATTTTTTGTCTTTGGTTGTATGTCAATAACTACGGAACTTCGGAGGCATGCAAATGTAAAAAATTGAATAAAAATGGTTCGACGGAGAATAAAGTAAAAAATATTGTAATTGATGTTATTTATTACTCAGTAAATTAATTTTTTAATGATAAAGATATCAATGTAAATTATTAATGACTATTTTACGATCTAATGTATGTAAATGAAAACAAAATTCTTAATTATATTGACCTAGAATTAATGTTGAATTGTTCGTATTTATTTATTTTAATTTTTTAAACATGCATTATTTAATGTTTTGTTAATAATATAAATATTATAAATTCAAATGTTTTAAATTGCAATGCCCCAACAAAGTTTTTGTACTGTCACTGAGATAGTTTTTAAGATCAATTTTACACAAATTGTATGCAGTAATAATGGATAAATAAACAAATGAAAATATAAAATGATCAATATAAATCATTAAATTTGTCAGTACGTTGGGGATATTTCTCTACGGAAAAGCAGTAAGCGGCAACTGTACAGAAAGCCCGTAGTCGGTTTTTAACAGACTTTCAAAAAGTAGGAGGTTCTCAATTCGGCTGTATGGTTTTTTTGTATGTTTTTGTTTGCGGATCGATTTTGATGATTCTTTTTTATTGGAAAGAGGGTACCTCGGTAGTGGTCCCAAACTAGGGGATGGATGGTGGATGGCAAACTAGGGGATGAATGACTTTTAAGGAAGAAGGGAAACAAACCTGTGCGTTAACAAATTTGTAAGCGACGAGCATTTTCTTCTTCTGATCCCTGGAGTATTTTCTCAGGGGTGCCTTCTTCTCCTCGCTGAGATTCATGTCCGACTGAAAAGGAAGATAACAATGGATTCAATAAACATACCATTAAAGTAATTCTTAATCTAAACTAATAAAAAAAAGTTCAAGGCGACTGACATCATGGCAGTACATTTACTGAAATATTTTGTATGCCCGTAAAAATATATGAAATTATGACATTGAGAAAGAAGACATCCACAATATTAAGATTAGAATTTAAAACTTACATTAAAAGTATTTTAATGGAAAAGTCATATTACAAAATTTAAGACTCCGTGTTAGATAAAAATGTATGGAAAAACGACATGCGCTAGATTCCGAACAAATATGATTCAAAGTGTATTCCATAGCATACTTAGCATATTTGAAAAGAGCAAATCCGTAGAATTTCTTGCTCGTTCTTCTCAGGGAAGTCAGCACAGTGAACGAGATTAAAAAATAACGTTTTCAAGTGTGCGTACTAATATGCGTATCATTGTGTGTTACAAACTTATTTATAAATTACCGCTTACTAATAAGGGTAGATGGCGTTAATCCTAATTAAAATACAATAATAGCCGACAGTATACATAAAAATCTGTGAAACAAGCGCCATCTAGTTGATTTGTTTGTTATCACTAGAATATAATAAAACGTTATATATTGCAGCTCGTCAGTACGTGTTTTAGTAACAGTAGAGCTCCTTGTGAAAGAGTCCGTCCAGGGTAATACTGCCACCTTACCTATGTCAAGCAGTAATGTCAGCATTACTGTGTTCCGGTTTTGAAGGGTAAGGGTGCTGGTGAAATTACAGCATATGGGACTTATCAACTTATGTTTCAGGGTGATGGAGGCAGTTGCAGTGCCACACCCCGGACACTCCATACATCGGTCGAAAATTAATTATGATAATAATCCCTTTAATGGACAGTACTTTTACCACCGAGTATACAATGAGAAATAGAGACGAAATAAGGGCCATCCATCTCTGGCAAGGCAAATGGTCCTAATGTCACTTTTAAATATCAACTCGTTTTTCGTTTTAAATATCAATTGACGGATGTCGTAAATTGTTTCACTTTAAATCGACCTGTTTAACTTAAGCTTGGCTATAATGGACGAAAATTGAAAAATAACTTTTAATTAATTACCGATGAAATGTGATTGCGTTTGTTTTGTAATCAGATGTTTTGCTGTTTTTCCCATACCACCGAATGGAACATCCCCTCATAGTTAGAGTATTATCTTTATTACAATAACTACCGAATATTTTTGTACGTACACACAGGTCAGTTGTAGGCGCTGTACTATTTCAGCTTGTTGATATTTAAAAGTGATATCAGTACCATTCGACTGATGAGTTGCCAAGGATGGATGGCCCTTATTTCGTCTCTATTTTTGAATATATACTCGATGGGTCCATGCAAGGTAGGTGTATAATCTATAAATAGTTTTAAAAAGAATTGCCAATTTAAAATCGAGTCTTACAAGCATCTCCTCGAACCGCCTCTGCAGCTGGTTGTCGTCCAGAGCATCGATGTTGCTGGTGTATTGCGCGGCGGCGGACTCGTCTTCTTCGGGGCGAGGGTCCGTGCGTGGCACCGTGTCGTACCCCCGCTCCGGCCCGCCGCCTTTCTTTGGCCTTCCGAACCATGTGTCCAGCTGGGGAGCAAAGAGTGTTATAGCGAGTCGTAAAGAAAAAAAACTTTCAATTGTGTTTGGTATTACATAAAATCAAATTCGATTTATTGCTCTGTTGTCATGTCCACGTAAGTAAAAAAAAATACTGTTACTTTAGTAAATTTTTAATACATTCTAATTAATATTCATAAATTTTCTTAGAAATTTTATCATCAAAACGTGTTTATTTCCAGATTTTTTGTATTTCTTGGGCCATTTTTGTAACAATAAATTAATCGTTAAATTGGCCATACATCATTTTTGTTAGACAAAGGTTAAAACGGAGCAGAGGAAAAATTCCTAATCTTCGATTTGATTTTAGAGGGGTATATCCATTTTAAAGTTAAAAATAAAATATTGTATGAGTAACTACACGATATATTGAAGCATAGACATTAATCATAAACATAAAACAATAAAGTTTCCTCGATAGATAAAAATCACGAAATGACCTCTAATTTTCACATTTTTTCGATTCATCTTCGAAATGCTACAGGTTATTAGGACAAAAATTAGATAATTAATTATATTTATGCATGATCGAGAACTGTCACTACGGATTTTTTAAATCCCTTTAGTTTTAGAGTTATTCCGCTAAAACGAATTTGGTACTTTTAATGCGCAAAATTCAACATCTCCAGTCGCATGTCACGCGAACTTCAGGCATATATTTGTTTCACAAAGGAGATCCGCCAAAATGACCCCAGGCCCGGCGCCAAAATAATGTAACTCAGTTTTTAGAGTAAAAATAGCAATAATATTATACAGTTTCGGTATTGCTAAATTCACATGCTAACATAGTTTTTTTGCCTGTTGAATTTTCATAGGCGCTTTATGAAAAATTCTATTTATTAGAGAAGCGTCGTCCTTTTTAGTTCATTAACATTGTAATAAATAATTATGGCATATAAGCATGTATATCAATCATATTATATAAACATATTTCATTTGCAGTTATATTTTTATTTAGAAAAAAAAAATAGTATAAACTTCCCATAAATAAATAGAAGAATCAAGTCAAATGTTTTAGTTTTAGCTTTTTGTTTGTATTATATAATGATAAATATATCAACATTCGCATAAAGGTACAACAACAAATACGTTCAAACAAATAATTTAAAAAAAGTATATTTGTATTGTTATATTATCGCTTTACGCGACTTTACTTAATGGCCGCATGACCTTCAAGCAATCGGCAAAGAAAGGATGAACACGCACGGATGAACGCACCTGTGACGTGAGGGCACAACTGGATACATCTTATTGTCTCGCTCACATATAATGGTTTAGAGGGAGAAACACGCAGACGCCCGCTTTGCTTTGGCGTGCTCTGCTCACGCGCAGTCCTACGCTAACGTTTGTTGTGTTGTGTACTGTGAACTGTGCGATACCTTACCTTGATCTTTATTTTACTTTGTTTAACCCTCCCGGACTTTTGATTTTCTTGTGAAATGGCAGACGTTTGTATTTTGTGTACACGATCATTACGGCAACGTCGTAGACATTTCATCGTTTACAGTACAGTACATACATGCTTATACGCCATAATGACTAATTA